TCGCAGGTATGGAATAATGTGAAGTTTTTAACTCACATGGCATGTGTAAGAAGCTGTTATTGCTGTCTCTTTCACAGAAAGGTTTCGCACAATAATCGTGTCGAGAAAGAGAAAGTGGCAACACGATAAAGTACACACAGTAGGAAAGTTGGGAAGTGATAACTGTTAAGTGCAACTCAGCAAGAAAAAAGGAAAATGGAGTGAAAATTGAAAGAAAGGAGCCTTTCTCTTTATACCAAGATAAACCCTTGTTGTGTGATTTATTTTTTCCCTAGAAGTTTCTCTAAGTTAGTTTGTCTTTTGTTTTTGTTTTCTGGGATTTATTGTCAGATCTAGAAGCAGTTCATTTTGCTCTCATTTTGTTGGGGTTTTTTCAACGGTAGAAGGGTTTATCATTAGTGAGACTAGGGGAGTGCGGTTTGAACTGTGAGGTCGTATTTCGTTGGATTTGATGTTATTTGATTCTGTAGTTTGAAGGGTTTGTCTCTTTCGGGCGGGCTATTTTTATCCGTAATCATTTTACTGATATTGTTTTTTGGTTTGATATTTGGAGAGCCCTCGTTCCATATAATAGGAAAGTCGGTGCCTTTTTTGTTCCCAAGTTGAAGTAATTAGGAAATAATTGTGCAAGTTAGGATACCTTTAATTTATTTGTCTGAGAACTGAATGCTAGAAGATAGTACTTGTTTTGTTTGTCTGGAATTTGATTGAATTGAGGAGCTGCTTCAAGTCCTTTTTCATCATTTTCTTTGTTTCTGTAATATTTAACTCGAGCTATTAGTGGAGATTCGCACTGGAGTGGCTAGGGGTAACTGCAGGTGTTACTATGTCGTCCTTGAGTCGAGAACTAGTTTTCTTAATACTGCAATTCTTGGATGAGGAGAAGTTCAAGGAGGCTGTCCACAAGTAAGTTGTTTGTAGGTTTTTGCCTTAGTTTTTGCGTTTGATAATTTCGTGCGGCTATCTATTACACACTTCGACATGTGATGATGAATGGAGTCTTGAAGTAAAACCGCAAATATCTTTTGCCTGATGGGTGTTTGGTGACGGATTGTGAGATTTGATCGATATGGTTTGGTTGGACATCCTGAAAGTTTTCTTAGCTAGAATGACAAAAAGACATGCTTATATACTTCCCTGTTTTATGAAAAATCAACAACTTGATTGGATAATAGATATAGGCTAGTGTATTTATGGCTTGTCAACGGAAGTTACTTGTGGTTTTGTACGATGATAATCATGTTGTAATTCTAATATTCTATGAATAATTTATCTAGATTGGAGCAAGAATCTGGATTTTTCTTCAATATGAAGTACTTTGAGGATCAAGTCCAAGCTGGTGAATGGGAGGAAGTTGAGCGTTATTTAAGTGGATTCACAAAAGTTGAGGACAACCATTATTCAATGAAGATCTTCTTTGAGATTAGAAAACAGAAATATCTCGAAGCTCTTGACAAGTATGCAGTATTTCAAAATCATGCATAGCAGTCTGCACACACACACACACACGCACACACACGCATATGTCGTTTGATCTATGTCTAATTCTTTTCAGACAAGACCGCGCAAAAGCTGTTGAGATTCTTGTTAAAGATCTCGAGGTGTTTGCCTCGTTTAATGAAGATCTTTTTAAAGAGATCACCCAGCTTTTGACTCTTGACAATTTTAGGTACCTTTTCATTTATCAGTTACATTTCAGTTCCGAGTCTTTCTCTCTTGCAAATCATTATGGTAAGCATTACAGGCAGAATGAGCAGCTCTCCAAATATGGGGACACAAAGTCAGCATGCAACATTATGCTGGTTGAGCTGAAAAAGCTTCTCGAAGCAAATCCCTTGTTTCGCGATAAGCTATCATTTCCGGTTTTCAAGGGTTCAAGACTAAGAACACTCATTAACCAAAGGTATGCACCAATAATCTGATACAATTAATAATATATAGTTTGGTTTTGTGCATAACCTTCTACTTGAATTATGTCAAGTTTGCTGATATGTATGTTTTAGATGTTAAGTTTGGTAGTTGAGGTCTCATTGTTTTCATGTCATATTTTGTCGGGTGATTTTGCAGTCTTAATTGGCAGCATCAGCTTTGCAAAAATCCTCGACCGAACCCTGATATTAAAACTCTTTTTATTGACCACTCTTGTGCTTCGAGTAATGGCGCTCGTGCCCCACCTCCAACTAATAACCCTCTCGAGGGGCCTGTTCCTAAACCAGGTGTTTTTTCTCCTCTCGGAATTCATGGTGTAAGTAGTTTTTATCGTGTTTGCTTGCAAACTGAGATACATTTCTTTGGCATCTCAATTTTTTCATTGGTTTATATATATATATATATATATATATATATATATATTATTTTTGACAGCCTTTCCAGCCAGTTGTTTCACCACCTCCAAGTGCAATTGCGGGTTGGATGTCAACTGCTAACCCGTCAATACTCCATGCTCCTGTTGCTGCTCCTCCTCTTGGTCTTGTTCAGGCTCCAAGTTCTTGTGAGAGTTTTACATGATCTGCAGCCAATTTATTTTTGAGAGGTTATTATTTCGTCGAAAAAAATCTGTTTACCTAATTTTCCGCAGCTGCATTTTTGAAACATCCGAGGCCTCCTCCAGGTCCACCTGGAATGGATTATCAGACTGCAGATTCTGAGAATTTGATGAAACGACTTCGTCCTGGACAGCCTGATGAGGTTGTGGCTTGTTAGACTGTTGCGATTATATTTTATTATTCATCAATTCGCTGTTGCTTTGTAGCTATCGTGATAATTTTGGTATTGCAGGTGTCATTTTCTAGTCCTACTCATCCACCAAATATCAATTCACCAGACGACCTTCCGAAAACTGTTGTGAGGAACCTCAGCCAAGGATCAAATGTTATGAGCATGGAGTTCCACCCGCAACAACAGACGGTTCTTTTAGGTTGATACTCGTCAATCTTCATTCATTTTCAATCAATTCCTGATGAACTTTTATTCATGAGTTGCCAATAGATTATCATTTTTGTTTTCTTTATACAACTCTGAGTATGTTATACAATATTGTAAGACAAACCCTGAATAGTCATGTATACAATTTATTGACTGCTCTCTCTCTCTCTCTCTCTCTCTCTCTCTTTCTCTCTCTCTCCCCTTGTCTCTCATTTTTATGCTTCTGTCATCTACATTGTAGTTGGAACAAATGTGGGTGATATTAGCATATGGGAAGTTGGATCCAGAGAACGGTTAGCACTTAAAAACTTCAAGGTTTGGGACATATCTACTTGTTCGACAGCATTCTCTTCCCCTAATCCTGCTGCTCTTCCTTGTTTCCTATCATTCCAATCTTGGTCCTCAGCTCCATGAACCGAAGACGGCCGAGTGGCTTGGTAAGGATGTCTGCGAGCTGCCGTCCGGATTCGACAAACTCCAAAAAATCCAGTCCTCCATGACCGGAGCAAGCACATCGATACCCGTTTTCACTTCATCCGGGATTGTGTTGATGAAGGACATATTGTTTTGGAGTTTGTCGAATCCGGACGGCAGCTCGCAGACATCCTTACCAAGCCACTCGGCCGTCTTCGGTTCATGGAGCTGAGGACCAAGATTGGAATGATAGGAAACAAGGAAGAGCAGCAGGATTAGGGGAAGAATTGTAAGAAATATATAATCTGCTGTTTCCTTGCAGCTTCCTTGCAATAACAATGCAATTTCCTTGCAGCTGCAAAGCACTTTCATAGCAGGCATTATGGGCTGATTTTTCAGCTTAAGTAATTTCTAGAAAAGTCACTAGGTAGTTACTTTTAGTTCTTATAAATAGGACACAAAACTGCATCCCTATGGAGCTGATGCACAGGCAAGTGTTCCAAGATAGAGACATTTTTTCTTACACACACACACACACAAAAGTCTATAAATAAATTGCCTATTTTCTTATATAACTTCTTCTCAATGTCTACTGCAGCTCTGTGTTTGGAGTATTGATGGATGGGAGAAGAAGAAATCGAGGCCCATTCTGGCCCCACCCGGTCAACTCGCTCCCGGTTAACTCACTCCCCTGGTTGGGGAAACTAGAGTTCAATTCCATAAAAATCAATCTAATCTACTCGTTGTTCATGAAAGCCAAATTGCTATATACGATTCTCAGCTTGAATGCTTGCGCTCGGTATATGCCTCATTTTTCGCGTTAATTTACCTACAAAATTATCCATTAAATATTTTTTTCTTCTGCAACTGGAGTTTATGTCAGATAGAGTTTATGTCAGATAGGACAAATTTGGCGTTTTCTTGTTATTATTAATGAGTTGGTGAAGCATTTATGCCCACAAAGACATTATATCTAACAATTAAAATATTGCAGTGGTACCCAAGGGACTCACTTTCCTCGCCAGTTTCAAGTGCTATATACTCTTGTGACGGGCAAATGATTTTTACTGGATTTTGTGATGGTGCTGTTGGAATATTTGATTCAGACAATTTGAACCTCCGGTGTCGAATAGCGCCATCTGCTTATATGCCACCATCCATTTCCAGGTAAGAAGATTGTTACAAGTATTCATGGGGCGCGATTGGCTACAAAATATAACCGGTTTTGACTTTGACACACCGAATAATTCTTCTTACAATATTTATCTGAAAATCTAACTCAAATTTAATCCAATCCAACTCCCCTTAATATTATCAATATAATTAAATAATGCCAGTCAGTCAGCCTCACACATCACATCAGCTTTAATTCACTATTCATTTCCTCACATATTTTTAACTACCTACCTGTCACACGTTCATTAACTTCTCTGGCCTCTATTACTTTTACATCACATCAACATAATTAATCCTTACAAGTTAAAATATTATTATAATACAAACTCAAAATCTCACTCAATCAACTTTATTCAGAATTAATTCAATTTAACCAATAAATCCAATCAAACCAAAACCGGTTTTGTTTATAAGATCAATCTTACTTACTCTACCTTTTCAAATTCTTAAATGTTGTTTTGTATTAGGAGCAAATTGTATCCATCACCATTATAGTGTAATATTGATTTCTAATTTTTTACCGAATACCTTTTTCTCATTGGAGTTCTAGTCGTGGAAATTTGTTCCCCGTGGTAATTGCAGCCAACCCATCGGACACCAACCAATTCGCGCTTGGCATGAATGATGGTGGGGTCCACGTCATCGAAACTTCGGATGGGGAGGCCAAATGGGGGGGTGGTGTTGGTGGGTCCACGTCACAGGAAAACGGGGTTTTGCCTTCAGTTCCCTCGAGTTCCGCTTTAAATGCTCAGCCCCCATCTGAAACTCCTTCCAGGTGAATCTATTATCTCATTTCTTGTTTTCGAATTTCGAGTGGACACCTAAAGCATTACACTTCTTCTAAAAATAATAATAAAAAAAATTCATGATACGTTTCCTTGGCCCGACTGATGTGTCAAGTGTTTCAGCAAAGCTATCTTGTGTTTTTCTTCGACCTTTGGGAGTAAACTGTGGCAAGGTTTAGTTTTTACGACAATTGCCAGTTGGTTAACTTAGGCGCATAGGTTTTTCTGTCTGAACCATCTCATTGAATTTGTTTGTAAATTCATTTTCTATATTTTGTTTCCATCTCCAATTTATTGTGTTTTATCAAATTGTGGCTCTGTTGCCTTTTTCAAGCATTTCCTTAAAATTCACATATAATTACATGCTCTGGAAAGAAAATTTTATTGCAGTATATGCAAAAGAACATTATGGAACCAAACAAGAATCATGAAATACTTTTAGGACCTGCAGTTACTTTCCAACCCGGTCTGGTGAGGCCCGGCCCAGTCACTGGGGAAGAAAGATAAATGTGAATTGAATGATGAAATGAGATAAAAATTTCAGACTCATTTTCTACCTAATAATGGATGAAAAAATTTAAAAGAATAAATGGAAACAAACAGCGAGGAACAAAATTTGCAGTATCATATGAACATTCTCATGACATTGTTCATGGCTTGGGTGGATCTGAAGGCTCAGGGTCGAGCATCGGTTCTACAGCCGACGATAGTTGTAAATGACAAATTCGGACTGCACCAATTACACGTTCGGGCAACTCTTCTGGGGTGTTACCCTGAGAATAATCGAGTTAAAACCCGTCTCATAAGCAAACTGTTGATCGACTACAAAACAATACGATTGTTCGGTAAATATAGAAAAGAGAATTTTTAAAGCTCGTTTGGTTAACAAGCTGAGTTCAGTTGGGCTCGATAAGACTTGAAAAGAGAATTTTTATATAATTTTCTACAGTTTGGCTCGTTAAATCTCGAGATCGACTCATTGCTCAAATTCGGTTCGCTAGTAGTGATAAATGAGCAGAGCTCGAGCTCGATTTCTGGCTCGTTAAGGGCTCGAGCACCCTGAGTTCGAGCTCGCCTCATTTACAGGCCTACATATGGGGTATGTCTTAAAGTCGACTGTGCGTACCTGCACGAGAAATGCCATGTCGACTACAAGTGTCTTAATAACGCCAATTACAAGCCCCAGAACTCCTTTCGCCACAGTAGACGAACCAATATCAACATCAACCTACCGAGAAACAAATCGTTGATGAGATAATTTAGCAATCTCCATCAAATTTCATCTTTGTTTGAGAGAATGCATATATGTAAAATCTTACTTCCAAGTAATTTGTACCACGAATGTAGTTGCAATCGACTGATTTTCCGAGCAAACAAGCCGAGCTTCCCACACTCTGGCGTACGATCCACGAGCCCTGAAATATTTGCATGTCGAAAGTCGATATTTTCACATAAAGGACTTCCTAACGAAGCGTTATTTTCTCACTTGTTTCGAAAACTGAAAGGATACAAACAGGAAAAGAAGAGGAAAAGTAGGTACCTTTGGAACTGAGGGAATAAGCTTCAGTCTACTGTTGCGAAAATCATCATCCCCATCGACAAATCTTTGCAAGAGAGATCCTGATACTATTTCCTTAGCTACGAAATAGAAAACCATGCTGTAATGAGTCGAGCCCGGTATCTATCAAAAACACAAAATGCACGTTTTTCGTAAGAATCTTCAGGCCACCATAGTTAAGAGTAGCTGGAGAGATAAGTAATCGACACGAAACCGACTCACTTGCAGATTAAAAACGATGGAAAAAAGTCCTTTCTCGGACGCGACCTGAAAATATAATAACAAAAAATAAAAAATAAAAAAGAAAAATGAAACATGAAGTTACATTTCAAATGTTATTTTCTTTTCTTTTTTCTTTTTTTTTTTGAATTTTTGAGAAGAAACTCACTTGTGCTGCACAACCGTTTCGCCTTGCCACGTCATCCATCCTCTTCGTATCTTTGAACCAGTCGACAGCAACAAGATCCATAAGATGCTTCCCGCCAGGAGTCTTCAATGGTCGTAAGTAAGATTTACTAATGTTATTTAGAAACAAAAATCGGTTTTTTATAAGCTTCTTCGAGAGCAAAGATTTTCGAATATTTTACCTTCGATTTGTCCTGGCAGAAGTTCTTGCCACGGACTCTAAAGTTGTTCCCGTCAGATAACGTGTAACAGTCACGTGCATTATCTTGATCATCACGCCGGATATTACCCGAGAAAATCGACACATCTACTTGCTCTTGAGGTTCTTCTTCAGAAGCTTCATATTTTTACCAAAACATTGCAAGTTCATTGCAGTTTAGATTTTTTTTTTTTTTTTCAATGAATGAATGAGCGAAGTAAAGACATTTTAGACATTGGTCTTGAGGTTCTTCTTCAGAAACTTCATATTTACCAAAAACATTGCAAGTTTATTGCAGTTCAGATATTTATTTATTTATTTATTTTTTTTTTCATTTTTCAATGAATGAATGAGCAAAGTAAAGATATATCACACACCTTTTGTTTTTTCTTCAACCTCAGCTGCAAATGTTGAAACCTGTATGTTCAGACGAAAAAACCCGACCCCATTAATCGACATTTTTAGACAAGTTTTGCACGAATTAAGAAAAAAAGAAATGACTCTCATTTGTAACAAAAGCGTTAGAATCATAAACGAACGAACCTCTTGATCAGCACACTGGAAATCTTCATCCTCGTCCGAATATTCATCCATCAACACAGAATGTCGATTTGCTGCATGCATTTGGTCAACCGTGCCATTTTGTTGGTCAACCGAGGATAACCAGGGGCTTTGACTCTTTGAAGAATTTGACACCGACGTCATATTAATCATAACCGGGATCCTAGAAGCCACTGGTCTTTCATCTGTTTGCGAGAAATATTCACGTAATCCTGCAACAGTGTAAACGAACATTCGAAATGGTTCGATCACTTGCTCAAGAAGAGAAAAAAAAACGATTTTTTTTTCTTCCGAAATAAATAATTTATGTTCTTGCTAGAAGTATTTTACTTATAGCTACTACAAGATCTCACCTGCAACACTATTTAACATCTGAAGAAGACAGTGTTGCTGAAAGGAAGACATATAACCCACTCCCCAGCCTTTTAAATCGATCTGCATTAAGTGCTGAACTTGTGTTCTCGGGCTCCCACCACGAGATTTCATAGGCGATATATTGAACCCTCCACCTGAAAATCGAGCGAAAAACAAACCATGAAAGGTAAATTTAAAACAGAACTAAAAAAATCAAATATATATCCTCAAATCAAAGCCGAAAAAAAAAAAATATTCAGAAAGTTTTTCATCAAAAGCTGAGTTGTATTGTATTACTTTCAATATGAGCCCGAACAAATCCTCGTTGTGGACCACAATTCTCATGCTCCCTCGAACGAAATAACACGACTGCACAACAAAATCGGTCAAGATAAAATTAAGTGCTCGAGAAATGCAGAAGTCTTCGAAAAAAAAATGTACCATAACTCCCATCATCATTTCGGCGCCAATAGCGCGAATAGCAGAGGTCACGAGGCCATACAAACCTGTACGTAAATATAACTAACCCCCTTTAAAGATTATAAAAGGGGAAAAAAAAGAAGATTATAAATAAACGAAAAATTACGTTGGGAACCAGTCTAGTTGGAGCCTGTGGTATAGTATTGCAGTATGCCCATCTACTTCTTCGACTAAGCTGCCGTATTGGAAGCTACAATCCCACCTTCATAATTTATACATTTTTGTTAAAAATTTTGTCGATTTTTTTGGAGCAAAAAAATAGACTACCAATCACAAGTATTTTTTATCAACATCAAAAGGTGAAAAAATGTTGAATTCTGAAATTTAAATGGCGATTTTAAGATAATATGGAACTCACTCGCATCGAGCTGCATCCATGCTCATTACAAGCTCGAATACTTCTTCACAAGTCGCCTCTACTACTCCTACGGCTTTCATTGCTCGACTACAGCTCCTCGGCTAAAAAACAATAGAATCAAACGAGGTATAAATAAATCCAATCAAAATCTACTTCTAGTGAACTCATAATGTATATCTTACAAGAAAATCCACTTCAAGAAGCTCTTCAAAAATCCGAAGCCCTACAAAGTTCGATAAAAAGGATAAATTGATCAAGAAGCATGTAAATATCTCAAAAATGAACTGTTTTAATGGTTCTTAAATATTCTCAAATTTCAGACATCATCAATGTTACCGTTTTGGCACTGAAGAAGGCGCCAATACTTTCCGGAAAACGAGTGATTGTTAGAACTTTGGTTAGGCAAGTATGAGTCGAATTCCTTTGACCAGTCAAATACAGATTTAGGAGGACCTGTCAGAAAGAAAATAATTTTTGAATAAAAATTAAAACACTATATCAGAAGCAAAGCAAGAAAAGGTAATGGGGGGGAACTACCATTACCCATAGTTGTTCTGCGCGTTGAATTTGATTTAGAAAGTTCTTCATCTTCTGCAGTGCTAAACCTACAGAGATAGTATCAGAAAATTCAAGCGGTATTAATTCTCCAGTAGATGATAGTGAGCAGGAAAATACAAAATAACACTAATCTGTATGGTTACTTTTAATCCTAATTGTCATTTTTTCTGTAATATATTATCCCTTTAGGCTGAACAAACACTTCCAAGTTAGGTGTCCATAATAATGCAAACACGCACCGAAGTTATCCTTGCAGAGAATCGTGTAAAAGTGTAAAATAGTACTTACTGGCTTTCATTGTCAGATGATGAAACATTTTGTTCATTGTCCACGCCTAATTCATACTCAAAGGAATGAAATTTACTTCCATCAGTAGCTTGTGATTCTTGGTGCTGCATGTAACATTGATGAGTACTTAGACTAATTGAAGCATAAAAAATTAAAAAAAGAAAATAGTTCAGGTAACAAAAGTATTTAGACACCTGATCAATAACAGATTCAATTTTTTCTTTCCACATGAGTGACTCCTGAATGTTGAAAGCTGCCATCTGAACAAGGAATAAGGATTTATACAGGTTTAAGCCCTAAAATAGAAGCTTTGCAAAGAGCAAATTAAATAAGGATATTAAACACAAATAGTGATTCAAAAAAGAAATCCGGTGCCCGTTTCTACTGTCCATAAGTTCAACTAGACTAGACTACATATTGTACCAAAAATTAACATATCAAGATCTGCATCATGAATTACCAAATGATTTTCCTACTGGATTTTTTTTTTTTTTTTTTGCATCAACAATCATGTAAAACCTCTAAGTGGAAATCCTTCACTTTCTTAAGGAAAATTATGAGTATTCCAAGTGAAAAACTACCTTTGCATCATCATCAACCCGAAAAACCTTTATTATTACAGCTACGGTGCATGTAAAGTTCAACAAAAGTAAGAACATTAATAGAAATATCCAACAAAAAGGTCAATTATGCAAAAGATAGTCAAACAGAAACACTTATCCTAAATTTCATTTTGCAGTGCAAGAAACTAGTACAAAAAGGTCAAATGGATCGAGAGATTATAAAAAGTAATATAAATTTGCAGATGCAATTCGAAATAGATATGCAGCCAAGTAAAAAAATGTTGTAGCAATATCATAGAAACTCAGATTTTCATACCGTCATCCCATCGCAAATATCTTTCTTGTTATAGACAGAGAGAACATAAATCATCTGCCAAAGAAAAAAAATAAATAAATAAATAAAATGAAAGAAAGAACAGGAGTTAGTAAAACATAAGTAACATATAATACAAATGTAAAGCCGTAGCTCACATGTCCATGGTGAGTCTTCAATCCTCTGTCCTCCACCCTACAGTTTCCATCTATAACAAGAGTATTGACCGGTACCTGAACACGTAAAAAATAAACAACCCAAAAATCACTTCAAGACACTGATACACTTCCATTTCAACTGCTTTATCGATCAAAATATCTATACCATTTAATGAAAATATGCACAGATGCATGTAAAGGAAGAACAATGATGAGACATATGTCATCCCTCTATTCACATAACAGAACAACAGAAAAACGAAAAAACGAAACTCAGAGAATTACCACATTCCCTTGGGGCTTCTTCTTGTAATAGGCCAATAACCGAGACTCGAGCACGAAATACCGCATGTGGATGAATGATCTCCCGATCTTCCTGCGGCCATATCTCACCATCCATCCTTCATAGACCACCTTTGAATTAGACATTTCAGCCGGATTTCAGACTGTTTTTTTTTTTTTTCAGGGAAATTCGCTGGATCACAGAGCTTCTTCTCTTTTCTGCTCCTCAAACAATATCATGTTCTACTCTTTCAAACATCACAATCAAGAAGCAAATTCTGAATATCCCAAGAATCTCAAGAGAGCCCTTTTTCTTCCCATGAATCAATGAAAACAAAGGCCGCTCGATCGATCAGTCAGTCACTGTAGAAAACAACAAAGCTATACATTCACAAACAGAAAGCTCCAATCTTGACTCATAAAATTGAGAGACGATGCTAAAACGAACAAACCCAGAAAGCCAAAAATGCTCAGACACGCAAATAGCTGCCAATTTTGTGAAACACTTACCGAGCAAAGCACAAAAACAAACAGAGGCATATCCGACACAAAATCGACCTTAAATTCGCAGATTTTCCAAGAAAAGGGCAGCGATAGATTCAAACGCCTGAGATCTTCTTCCCCATGTTCCTGCAACGTCCAAAAATCCGAAACCTTGAGCAAGAAAGAGACAGAAAGAGAGAGAGAGAGAGAGAGAGAATTCCCGCGAAAAGGGTGCGCGAGCTCATATAATCACAATGGGCTTACAACAGAGAGAGAGAGAGAGAGAGAGATTGTATACATTTGCCAAGATCGTATCATTTCAATTCTCTGCAGCCCACCAATGAATTTTTAACATAATCTGTAAAAAGCGATTTTTTGCGTGAATGGCAGTAGGAATTGAGTGTCGTCTCTGTGGGGGAGACAGGAAAAATGTTTCCTTTTTAAGAGCGGTTAAAACGCCTGCAAATTCCAATAGAGTTTGGTGGCCATGTTTCTTTCTGTTTTCAAGACTCCATTTTTTATTTTCGAACCAGCTCTTTTTTTTTTCCCCCCCTTTCAGGTTATTTTTGTTTGTTTTGTGAAATATTATGTCAATCNTAATTGCTGGCAGATGCATTAAATAAAACATTTAATAAAAGCTCATTTCGATTTTTCGCTCCCATCTGTTTAATTAGAAAAGCATGCCAAAACCGTTACAAACATTATCATTTATATATCTCTCTCTATATTTAATTACTAACAGTAAATTTAATAATATTAATTGTTGTTTACCATCTTTTGTGTTACAATCTTCTATTATTATTATTATTATTATTATTATTATTATTATTATTATTATTAATCCACCATATCTAATTAATGCTAAAATATTTCAGTGCACGCTTTTTAGGGTCAATTAAGACAAAAACCGTTACATTTTATATTAACTGAGTAATAATTATACTATTTTATTGTATCATATAATAGTTATTAATAAAACTAATAACTATAGTTTACACTAAATGATATATGAAAGTTACATAAACATAAAAAATTATTATGAACGTTTTGGTAAAATTATTTATTCTAAAATTAATATTATATATTTATTTATCTTATTCAGCGATTGTATTTTTAAATAAGTTAATTTATTTTAATGTTATAGTAAAATTCTTAAAATCGCATAATTAAATGTTATAATAAATTTAATATTTTTAAGCTAATAAATTGGCGATCTCTCAAAATTATATTATTTATTATGTTTTATGTATAGTGGTTCATATGCAATCAAATAGTTATGTACTATTTATTTTAAACAATGATCAAATTTTAAAACATAATATCATCATCTAATTTATAATTTTATTATTATATGCATAAATATAACTTATAATACTCTATGTTAAAAATATAATATTATTGTATAATTTATAATTTTAATACTGTATGCATAAATATAACTTATAATATTCTATTTACACTGTGCAAATGCACAGGGTCGAATACTAGTATATATATAAACAGGAGCAACATAACATTTAATTATATTATCATGCATTAAATTTTATTATCCCTCCAAAATTTTCAACATTCAATTTCATTTTTAAGTTACAAAATAACTTGCTTGAATGCCATAAATTATTAGCATAAACCAATCAAGGGAGTTACAAAATTGTACTCAAATTTTAAGTCACACTGACCGGATGTATTAGCATAAAGAAAATGGTTGTAACAGCTCTTTCATAGCAATTACTTGATCAAAATCAATTTTGAGAATTATTTTCTTAATTCATATTTTTTTATGAATTAAATTATGATTTTTTTTTATATTATTATCTTTTTAAAGTATTCTTTTATGTGCAAATGCACAGGTTGATTATTAGTATTCAAGTAATATTGCCCATATAATAAATGGGACCGAGTGTTACATATTAATCTCTGTTCTCTTAGTTACTTTTATCCAATTTTTACTAAAGCTATTTTAATGCCCATATAATAAAACCCATAATAAGTGGTAAATTCGAAATTATATAAAAAAATCCTATTAATCTATTATAAATGTAAAAATAATTTCAAAGACGTTCAATAAAGCATAAGCCACACTTTATCTAGTAGCAATGCTTTTTAAGGGTGTTGCTACTAATTTTAAGCTTGAAAATAAAATTTATATTCGGGGTGGTAATTGTACAAGAAATACAAACAGAAAACACAATTATAGAGATATATGATACGATAAATATAATATATGTGGCACGGCACGACTCGAAAACGATACGAAAAACATGAAATAAAAAATTAATTAGTTAAATTCAAATTTATTACAATCAATTAAAATAAATAATACCAAACAATATTTAATCAATTTTAAAAAGTATTTAATCAATTTTAAAAAGTATTATAAATAAATATTTACATGTTAAACAATCTCACAACTACATTCATATACACTTAAATGCCAAGTCATCAATTAACATTCACATGATAAAAGTATTCAAAGATATAAACATGGTTGTTCCATCTTTGTGTTCAATGCATGTAATAACATCATTTTTGAATCAATTTATTACTTCCAATTGCTTTCTGATTTTGCAATCTTTTTTGTTATTCAAAAGTGCAATCCCACAAATGAAATGTGCTTAAATGGTGAACTAAACGTGCAAATTATATTATTGATTAATCATTAAATGGGAATATATTGTTCAACCAAATGTTGATGTCAATACAGTGTAATGCATGAAGAGGATGTGAGTACTTAATTGTTCACCTAAATCAAATGACATTATTATATATAACTGATTTTGTTCAACCAAATGTTGATGTGAAAATAGTGTAATGCATGAAGAGAATACTTGAATTGTTCAACTAAATTAAAAACATAACCACAACATTTAACATAAAAACAGACATTGCAGTAGTATTCCAAATTCACAAACAACTAAATTAAATGATATATATAATTTAGTTTTTGTTCAACCAAATGTTGATGTGAAGATAGTGTAATGTATGAACTGAACTGTTCATCTAAATTAAAAAGTAACTACAGCATTCAACATAAAAACAGAGTACTATTCCAAATTCAGCAAACANGAAATGTTCAATTCAATTTGCTTTAATTAGAAAAAGAAAAAAAAAATCATGGAAAGAACACATTCGGCCACATATTACTGAGCTCCGAAAACCACGGCTGCTGCTGCTGAGCTGGCACGTCCGCCTGTTTATCCTTACCGAGTGCCTCGATTCTGCTGCAGATCTCCTTGAGATTCCTGTCGAGCAGCCACGCCACGTCATTCAGATCTGACGTGGCAAGCCCGTGGACCCCACGGCCCGTGAGGCACTCGTACATGAGGTTCGTCATCTCCTTTTCTCGATTTTCCTTACGCAGCTTCTTGAGGTGGTCGGCCGCCCGGTCAGCCCTTTGCCGGAGGAAAATCTCCTGGTTCACCATTTTCTTGTTCTGCTCCATCTCAGGCATGCGCTTGAAGTGGGCCAGCACGCGTTGGGCCAAGTGCCCATCGGGCCAAACGTCGGGCTGGGCCTCATATGGGCTGTACACGATTGCGCAGGCCTCGATTCCACAGAGTGTGCTCAGCTCACTCGCCTTCTTCATTAGCCCCTTCTTACGTTTCTTGAACGTCGCTTTGCGGGCCGAGTCGTTGCTGATGAAGGCCAACTTCACTTTCTGACGGGTCATCTTGNCTTATTTGTTTCTTTGTTTGCTTGTTTTTGTTGTGTGTATGAAGAAGTGAGTGGTGTATATATAAAGGGGTTTTGGGGGATTGTTTGGAATTAATGTGGAGGATTTGGAAGTTATGGCCAAGGAGGGATTTTGGCAACAAGGTGTTAATGTTTTGATATGAATGTATTATTAGTTTTTATCTTCAAGATATTTTGCGTGTTTATTTTCTAGGCTATTATCACATATGCTTTAGTGATTACTAATTACTAATATTTATTTAACGAATCACAAATAGGATGCTTGGATGTAAAATATCTTGATTTTGTTTGAATTTTTTTGTTTGGTATGACTAATTTTTTTAACGAAACAAAATAATTAAAATTGATTCGATTTAAAAGTAAGATATAGATGGTGTGAAGTGATAGTTAGTTAAAATTATGTGGATAATAGTCAATTAAAGTTTATTTAATGTGTAAGAATGATTGAGGAGGAAATTGCAAATTTGGTCTCGTTAGATTGGGACGGTCGCAATTTCAGTCCCAAGAGGCGCAATTTTAGTCCTTAACTAATTTTTGTTGCGTAATTTGTCCCAAATCTAACTAACGGTTAAGTGAACGTTAACTCTCAAGACGAAATTTGCAACTGTGGGACTAAATTTGCAATTTTCTCATATTTGATATATATAAAATAACTTTTTATTTTTATTTTTATTTTTTATAATTTTATTCCCCTCTAGAGTTATATTTTCATTCTTTATCAACCACTATAATCATAATAAAATTAAATGATGATTTTCTAAATATATTTATTATTTAATTAAAAATATTTGAAATATAGAAAACATTGTATTGCAATTAAAATTTTTAATATATTAATAATAATATAAATTTAAATTTATATATATCAAATATATTTAAGTTTATATTTTTTTATATTAAAAAATATATAAATATTTTTGTTATATATCACATATGAATTTATGTTTATATTTGTGTTATATTAAAAAAATATATAAATACGAATTTAAAAAATGTATCAAGTAATAATATTTTTGTTATATATCAAATATGAATTTAGAATATATATATATATATATACACACATTGACCAATCCGATCAACCAATTCTGACTGGTTCATTGGAAACCAGTTAGTTCAAAGGAATCCAACCATTTGACCGATTCTAAAAATTAAAAATAATAGTAGTTGATTTTATTTTTATTTTTATTTTACGTTTTAAATTTTTATTACTTTTATTTTTATTTTTATTCTGACTGGTATTACTTTTATTTTTATTTTTATTTATAAATTTTTCTTTTATTATTTCTAATAAATTAAATAATTATTATTTTTTAAATACATTTATTATTTAATAAAAATTAATTTTAAATATAGAAAACATTGTATAGTAATTATTTTTTTTTTTGTCTCAAAACTAAATTTTTACTATCAAATATTGTTATATACTCACAAAATAAAAATTGCAACAAAAATTAGTAATAAAACTATTTTTTCAATATTGTGGGACTATTTGCAACAAAACCAATCTTATGGAATTATATTTGCAAATTTCTCCCTTTTCAAACTAATGACAAACGGTGACTAACGGTCAGTTAAATTTAGGACCAATTACGCAACAAAAATTAGTTAAGGACTGAAATTGCGCCTCTTGGGACTAAAATTGCGACCGTCCCAATCTAACGGGACCAAATTTACAATTTCCTCAATGATTAAGATATTATTTAATTATACTGGTAATATCGAGAATAGTGGGTTGAGTAAAAGTTAAGTTAGATTTGAGTTTAAAAAAAGTAATTGGTTAAAAATGATTGAATTGTTTTGGAAAAATTTGTATCCAAGCATCACGTTTAGCCATAGTACTAGGGCAAAGCGTAATAACAATCTGTGCCAATGAGTAAATAGAAAAACTAACTAGCTTATATGCTTACCAAACAAAATCTTACTAATAACAGACAAAGAATGATTGGGTGGTAAGCATATAAGCTAGCTTTAAAAAAAAACAAAAACATATAAGCTAGCTTATATCTTATTTAGTTACCTTATAAACTTCTTGTATTCAGATAAGCTTGCTTTAGTAGGACGTGCTTCTATAAAAAAAAAACTCGATCTTATCTCATAAGCTTCCTTATGTAACTTTTCAAATAAGTCAATTGAATTTTTTATTTCAACTAGCTTATCAGCTAATTTTATCATATAAACTAGCTTTTCAGCCATAGGTCATAAGCTATCAACTATAATTTCGAAGTGAACTATAAGCTAGCTTATCAACTAGGTTTACCAAACATAGTCTAAAAAAGACCTAAAATGAATCTATAATGATCCACAATGATTATCAAATGCATAAAGGAACACAGAACAAATATTATTGAATCAAAATTCAAACAAAATTATGTAAATTTCTACACCATCCATTAGAATATAGTGATTTTTTTTTTTTGTTTGTAAGTATCACTTGAGGAAAGTACATGCCAAAAACATGAAAACATATGCTACCAGGGATGTAAGGAGTTCAAGAGTCCAAGTGGGCTGCAACAAATATGTAGGAATAAGGGGAACCAAAAACGAACCACAGATCCAACCGACTACAAGCGATCCAAATCTGCAACAACATCACAAGATGTTTCTCTTGAGTGGACTTATTCCAAGACAGAGTACTGAAAAGTTAGCAGGAAAAAGAAACTCTAATGCCTACAAAACTCACCCGATAATGGCGGCTCTAGGAAAACTTTTACTCTTATCATTGAGGAAGTATATGCAAGCTGCAAGAGATAATGCCACCTGTATAAAGAAAAAAAAAAATGTAATGATATAAGCATGTAACCCATTTGTCTCAAGCTAAATGAATTTTCTTCGAACCAGACAATCTGGCAAAGGAAACGTGTGAGAGTTTGAGAAGTTTGCTTCAGCTTAATATATATTTCTTTTACAGATCTTTCATCTATTTTGAAAAACTTTACTGCTTGACTGATTTCAATGGATCCAAAAGCACAGGATTAGATTCCAATAAACCAACAAGATTGCAGCAAATTAAATGCCTACTATATATTTCATCATGCCTGATGTAAGTAAAGGAGAGCCAATAGAATAGTAGTCATACCACGATACTAATTATATATTAAGAAAGCCATTTCATGTTTCACATATGGCGCTCTTATTCCCCACATAATAAAGTTCTATCCAAATTGAACAAACTACTCCTAGTGTTCCAGGTTTCAATTCCATTCAGCAATATGCAAATTGGTAATATGGTTGCAATTTAAAAACTATTTTTATATAGTGCACACCAACACAAGATGATTGAGAAAAGAAATGGTGTTCAAAGCAAAAGAAAGAATTATGAAATAAACGGTGCAATGGGAGTAGCTATTGTGTGATGCATGTCCTTGTAGGTCATTACTTTACTACATGCATATTATGACAACGAGTATTCTATTCCTGATCAACCATTAATCACTTATCATAGATCATAATCAGCCAACCCTCATTTTATGCTTCATGTTGCCCTTAAAATCTGCAGCTTAATTAGAGTCCTTTTCTAGCAGAGTTCCATTCTCCCTCCTTTAACAAGCTGTCCAATTTTTCAGCTTCTGTCGCATACGATAGGCACAATAATGCAAAATTGATTTGAAAGGAAACCATAAAATTCATCTAAAGGGATGAAAAGGAAAAGTAACCTGGAAGGCAGGCCCGGCTTCTGCAGAGTTCATTAAACTCCAGCCAGCCATTAAACCAAACAGGAAAGCCCGTCTTAAAATAATGGCTTGGGGAGGAATAGGAAGCTCTACAAAACTGACCAAATTCTTAACCCATGGGGGAGACTCCTCAACTTTCTTCTTTAGCTTGGTTTTTAAGTTAATCTTTGTTTTCTTCCTATTCCAGAAGCTGTTCATCAGCAGTTTCTCGAAAGCTGCTTCTACTGATTCTGCACTTGCCTCGTGACCTGCATATTGGGTCAACAAAAAGTTCCGAGCACTCCAAATTTCTTCCTCTGATGCATCACTACTTACACCCAGCCGCTTATAAGGATTCCATACCCTTATCCGAGGGAACTTTGAAATTCCACCTACAGAAGTTCCAAACATGAGGCAGCAAGCAATTTTGTTATTTATTTATTTTAATCTACACAGAGCAAGTCGTATCGCATCAAAAATTTTATGTCACGCCATTTATACCTGAGCATAATCTAGAAAAGATTACTATTGCTAGTGCAAAATAAAACAAAACCCAAATCTTGGAAGCTCTAGTTCATAAACATGAGAAGCCCATTTTACATTGCAAATAATTGGACTTATTAATGAAATATTCAAACATTTTTCACACAACGATCCTTTAAATTCGATAAGTTCACCTTCATATGGCGTATCCACAGCACATCTAGGGCTCCCATGACTGAAGCGGCAAGCTTTAGGTTTTCCTGAATTGCCTTGAATTGAGCTGTACACAAGCAAGAAAAAGGGAACGGAACAACAGTAAGAAGCCCAAAAAGTGTTCGTAAACAAGGAAAACTATTAGGGATTAAAAAGATAAGAGATAAAAGTAAGTACAAACTTACAGTCGACGGCCATGGAAAGACGAGGAAATGGTAGGATTGCAGAGAAGAGCCGCAGCCATTATTTCGATAAAAAGTTCCGTAGTCTATCCAATGGAATGTGTAGTCAGATTCAGATTTGGCTGGCAAATTGGGGAAGAACACAATTTGGAGTGGACGATGGCTTATTCGATGCAAGCACACACCGAAAGAAAGAGAGAAAGAGAAGGCCCATGTCATTAGGGAGGCTATTTATATTCTTTTGTCATTAGAGGCCACGCCACATTTTATTTTGGGAAATTTGTCTTTTTAGTCCTGCTGGTTTAATGTCGTAACAATTCTAGTTCTAAGATTTCAATTTTTTGTCTTTTGATCCTGTAATTTAATATTTTGCTGCAATTTCAGTTCTTTGGGACTGAAATTGCGACACAATTTGAAATTACAAGACTTAAATTGCTGATCAAAAATCCATCCAAAAAATTTTTTATTAGCAATTTAAGTCCTGTAATTTTTAATTCTGTTACATTTTCAGTCTCAAATGATTGAAATTGCGTTGAATTTTAAAATCATAGGACCAAATAGCAAAAATGTTTAATTTTTAGGATTAAAAATGTCACCGAATTAAACCAACACGACTACAATTACAATTTTGCCTTCTATTTTACTAATTATATTATTATATAAATACAATATTATAATATAATCAGGCAGGGTCGGGGTAGGGTTTGAGACTCAGACTTGGCCCGTTAATAAAGGATTCGTAAAAATTCATTTGACCAACATTGACTCGAATGGGTCAACTTTGTTTGACTTGTTAAATATATATATATATATATATAATTATATCAAAAATAAAAAATTATGTGTATATATATTTATGTGGTAAATATTTATGATGAATATAATTATTATTAAAACTTTAAGGTATACAATTTCTATATAAATTATTTATTTTTGATATTTTTATGTTTATTTATAAGATAAATGTATTAAATATATATAATATTAAAATTTTAAAAACTAATTACTCGATTCAATAAAATTAACCCTATAGAATGGGTAACTGCGTAATCCGGAGCCAGCCCAAATCAATTACCCGTAAGATTTGTAAACATTGTGTGAGAGAAAAGTTGAAATTTCATAGCTTGCATTCAATGATGTTTATAAAATAGCGGCTTCTATGTTCAACCCTACTGAACTTTCTACTATCCAATCAGCACACTTTATTAAATTAATCCATTTATTTTTTGCCCTTTTCTTGTTTTCCAGTCTAAAGGGCCTTTGCCATCTCAATTTCAGCTCACGAATTGAATCATAAGTCAATAAGTCATAACCCAGATAAAAAAAGATTTTCTTTTTACTCTTCTATGCTTGATTCTTGGTCCTATTTTCACACTTCCTATTTTGTCATAATTTGGTTTAAGACATAAACTTGACTTAATTTAGCTCATAATGAAATGGGTTTTTCTGGAATTTGTCTATTGAACCGTGTTTGGTGCCTGGTGGCATGGAGTTTTACAAGCCAGCATTATTGACCTGGTTTTTGCGTGTTCTTTACCAAGAGTTCAATTTTGACTCTCTTTTTTGGTCATTTATATATATTTTGCATGAGCCTTGAGCTGCTTATACACATCTTTATATGCCCGTTTTACTTTTCAATTTCTTGAACAAAACTTTAGTGAAATAAATATTTCTTCTGCAGGTGCTGCAAAAGGCTGGTTTTAGTTGTGATTTCCATTTTTGGAGTGTTTTTTGGGGTTGCCAAACCAATTAGAAGAGAAATATTTGCTGCGCTCTCTTGTTCTTCTCCTTTGTNATCTTATTCCAGGGACTTTATTTATTGTTGTTGGTTTTTGGCACTTATGGTCCTCTGTAGTAAGATATGTTTCGGACCCAAATTCTTTTCGGATCCGGGTTTGGAACCCGGTTCCTGGTTTTGGCGGTAAGTTCAAGTATTTGGAGTTATATGTGATTGCAGTTGGAGCTTTTATTGATTTGTGCATCGAGTTTCTTTACTCGACTCATCTCAAGATTGTTGTTCATGGTGGACTAAACCCGTCTCACATGAACGATTTCGAGCACTCGGGCATGCTTCTCATGTTCTTCATCTTTGGCGCGATTGCACTTCTTTCCGAGAAAACGAGGTTCGTTTTGTTTGGCAAATTTAGCTTTTGATTCTTGAACTGAAGCAAAAAAAATATATGATCTTTCTTGTTATGTTGATTTTTTCCAATGTTGTGTTAGTGTTTATTAATCCCGCACTTTTGTTTGTTTCAGACTCTTGTTAGCGGTTTGTATCATAATCAAATTATAAGACGAATTTTACTGAACCGAGTGTTGAATTTGCTCGTTTTTTTTGCAGCTTTATTCCCTTGTCAGAAGAAGCTCTATGCTTCGTAGCAACTGCTGCATTCACGGCTGAGTATCTGTTATTCAATTTCCACTCGACTGCACACACTGGACTCGAGAGATATTACCATTCGATTCTATTGCTTCTTATATCCCTCTGCATAATATCCACTTTAGCCGCAGCTTTCTTGCCGAAAAGTTTTCCAGTCGATTTATGCAGTGGCATTGCCATAACTTTACAAGGCCTTTGGCTTTATCAAACGGCGTTCACTCTGTACGGACCCATGATTCCGAACGGTTGTCTATTTAAAGACAACTCCATTAATTGTCGTTCGATAGGACACGAAGTTCGCGGGGGAATGCTCGCGAATTTTCAATTGTTTGTCGAGGTTTTTTGTGTTCTTGGAGGCGTTTGTGGCGTTTATTCGTATGCCGAGCTTAAGGCGAGTTGTTCGAATGGTAGCTGATTTTTATTTATTTATTTTTTTTTTTTTGTACATTATTGAATTTGTTGCTTGTGATCTTTAACATACAAATTACAATGTACTTCATTTTGTTTAATGAAAATTCAAATTCTTTGTGTGTAATCCTGTTCAAAAGAACTATGAAGCCATAAAGAAGATGACAAATCATGCATAAATTGGTGTGAAGAATGGAAAGAAAAAATAACTCACTGTGTAAGCAATTTGATCTATCAATCATTTCCCAGCACAAATTTATCTTTAAAAAAAAGAAAATGTCTCAACACAAAGACCAAAGGTTCAAGGACAGAAGAGAAACCCACGAGCACGATTTACAGACAACTTAAGGGAAAATTATGCATCTCACTAAGTAAAGTCAGTTTCCAGATAAGGCTAAGTTGAATAATGTGCTTTCTTCAGTAAGGGACGATTGATTCTATGAGTTCTTGAAGTGGAGCAAGTTCCTTCTTGTCGATCAGAGAAAATTCCTGCATAACCAATGTATAAGCTAAATAAAAGATACTAAATCGTGAATCGAACATTCCATTTCATTTTTTCTCATCATCAGTTTAAGCACAAGCCAGAATTAGATCATACGAGTTTTTGTAAGAGTTTGATAAACGGGCCATGATTTTTGGCTTTCTTCTTGTTGTTTTTTTTTTTTTTTTTGTANTAGGTAATATCAGAAAAAATAAAGATTGAGAGAATGCAGAAAGGCTAAAAATCACAGCTTTATGAGTTATTGATCCGGAAATATTGCAAAGAAGTGAAGTCTGGTAAATCGAGAGCTTACGCAGGTAAATAGAATAAAATGCTTGAAGCAGGTGTTTAGGTGGGCCTCCTCTTTAAGGCTCACAATCTTCTGAAAATGAGAATGGTATATGTGCGCGTAAACACGGAAAAGGCGTTTAAATATGGTCTTCACGACATCCCTGAAATTCGAAGGAAATGGTGCCCCTACAAATATATTTGTTTTTATCAAAATTATTATAATTAAATAAAAAAAATAAAAGTGAAAATGAATAAAATATTTTTTTTGGTTACCTAGTTTTTGTGGAAATATAGATTCATCGTCTAACTGGGTTTCGATCCAGTCCATCAAATACTCGACATATTTAGGAGCTGAAACTTCGATTGGTTTCTTGATTTGTATTCCATCTGCCCATCTGTATTCATACCTACAATAATTGTAGCAGGTCACGATTTTTTAATTTTTTTTTTTCAATTAATTATTTTAATCATTGGGCTAAAACCCGAACTAAAAGATAAAAACTAGGTTAAAAATACACTTGAACAAAGAAACCCGAATCATTGATCTGAGTCACGGAAGATATAAACTAATTTGATTTGGAAAGGAATGAATAACATATAGTTTAATACTTTTTTTTCTTTTACAAACAGAGAATGAAATTTATTCAAGTATTTATTTCTTCATGGCATTTTCTCGAGAAATGTGTCACTTTGTACATAAATTAGTGAGTGTGCCAACAAACATACTTGGGGCCAGCAGTCATTGTAGGGCAGTTTTCAGCAGTACAGAACTCCGTGAGTGTGCCATAAAGCAAATTCACCTGGTTGAAAAAATCGACAGCTGAAAAAAATAAATGCAAACAAAAATGTTCAATTTAATCCACAAAGGCGAAGATTAGAGTATCGAAAATTGACGAAAGCTAATAAAGCAGCACATGGAAGACAAATGTCGATTATATACAGTCCAAATGGTGGTTTTCATTCTGATATGTTCTTAGTCACTCCATTTAAAGATCTAATAAGAACAAATCGAGACGCTATATTGTATAGAATACATAATGATATAACCTGACAAATATTTGTGAAAAACATATACAACCGAGTTAAATTGAAATCTTTGGATATTAGCTTGTTCACAGACACAAATCCAGGACAATTATAATGGGGCAATACATATTTAATAATGGAGAAAATTAAACTATCTAAATAGTAAAATGTCATTACAAAATGGCAAAATTTATCATATAACCGTTTCCTTTGAGTTTCATCTTTTGAAAATGATCTACAACTACTTCATCAATTAACTTTTTCTAGAAAACCAGTTCCCACATAACAAACCAAAAGATCACTAAGAAACTGACCATTCATTCAGTTTAGCAAATAATTGTTCACAAAGAGAAGCTTCTCTCGACGTTTTTTCATGAATTCATAATTCATTTTTTTAATTGAGAGAGAGAGAGAGATAGAGAGAGAGAGAGAGAGTACTGTTGACTGCAAGCCATTCGTTTATATCTTCACCGGGTGGTAACCTCACAGCTTCTCTCAAGTTCCCACTTCCTAAAGTAGCATCAATATGCTTTCGAAGCTGTGCCCCCTGCAAAAATCAATTATTTGCATTACAGATTGAGCACTTGAATAAGCTTAACGGAGACCAAACACTGAAGCTACACAACCATCAAACCTCATATTCTTATAAAAGGTCGAGGCCTTTTTTATACAAAGAGAAAACAAACTACCCAAATAATTTCCCAGTAAAGTTAAAAACAGCTCGACTCAACGAGCAGAGATAACCCAGTAATGTGATTAAAAGTAATTAATAAAAATTATAGAAAAGAAAAAAATGGGGAGAGGCAAAGAATTCAACCTTACTGCCTGATGGTGCACTTTTCTTAGGGCGAAATGTTCTTTGGTTCCTGCTCGAGAATAACAAATCAAAAAATTTAGTGAGCAACATGAATCCAGTTCCAATAAATCAAGTTCAGCAACAGGTTATATTATAAATTATGTACTTGAGGAACAAACACTCAGATGCCAAATCAAACCAACATCTTACATTGTAAGACTTGATTTCAGCAAAATGCTGAAAAATATATGTGCCCAATTTAATAACTAAACCAATGGTAGGCATGGCCACATAACCAGAAAAGTAACACGATGATTAATTATTTTTCATTTTATCAACCGACCATGAAAAGGATCTTCCACAAAGTCCATTCCAATTCTTCAAATCAAATATTTTCTTTCTTGAGCTACAACCGGCACCAAATGTGATAAGAGATGGTCCATGGATATCACTAAAGCCAAAGAGAGCAGCTTAAATAGTTCACCGGGCCAAAAGAAAATCGAGCATCTTCTCAGCAAATCAGTTCTAGCCAAGGGATGACACGTGTTTTACTGAATCACAGGCCAAAATTCGTGATCCCAGCAACTAATTACAATACCCCAAGCCTTCTTCACAAATCACAATCACCCATCAATTTGGAAATTTACAAATCCACCAAAACTGCAGCCTTTACACCTTATTCCTCATCAACATGCAACAGCAACTAGTCCCTACTATCCCTTCAACTATCTAACAACAATTTAATTCATTTATTTTTTTTCAAACAATTGTACAAACACTTTCATCATGCCTCGTTCGCCATCTGTCAAAATTCAATCACGTTTCGAGCACACACCAAATAAGAACAACAACAAAACACAACCCATCAACCAAAACATGAAAAGAAACAAAACCCATCAACCAAAACATGAAAAAACCATCAACCAAAAACATGAGTAAGAAAAACCCAATTTGAACAAGCCACAGATCTGACGTTTACCGATCACGAAACAGAAAAATCATGAACAGATTAAAAAAAACTCCCAAAACATCAAAAAACATGAAAAAAAAAATCACCTGCCAAGGCCGAAGAGACTCATGGCTCCTCCTCGCCGAAGAGCAACAAAACCGAGGGCGATGATGAAAAAAAATTGGAGGATTGTGAAAAACAATTATTTAAATTTATTGGTGAATATATAGATCAAATTTTTGGTGCGAGGGTGTTTGTGGGGACGAAATTCGTGGGAGTTTTTGTGGAGAAAAGCTGGCGAGCACTGACTTTGGCATCCAACAAAACACAGTGCAAGGGGAGGTGTGTGCAGTGAACTGGAATTAATCAATTTATTATTATTTGTTATAAAACTAGAGAGAAAGAGAGAGAATAGAGAAAATGTATTCTCTTAGGTGTATTTTTCATTATAACTGAAGCTCCTATTTATAGGAAACTCCTGATGGCACAACTCGTAATAATACAAATACATCGAGGGCAAAATAGTCATTCACATACATTATTTTATTATTTCATAACACTCCCCCTTGAATGACTATTTTCTAAACATATTTTAACTGATTTGAACAAAGCCTAATCTGCACATCTTCAAGTGTATCTTGTGGCCATCAGGTACCGTTGCTTCAGCACGTCAGGAAAACCCGGTAGGACAAAACCTGATCATCTTGAAATCATAACATTGTTTCTTCAGGAAAACCCAGTGGGACAAAACCTGAGCATTGTGGAAGCACAACATAGCTCCCCCTCAAATAGATCATCTTTAGTGGAATATCCATGTGCTGCCTCGTTAAAACCTTGTCAAGAAAACCAAGTGGGAAAAAACTTGATCGAAGGAAAAAGAGTACAGCTACTCCAGTATCTCTTATCATCGTGAAGAATCATATCATTTATCCAGTAGTCCTCATCATACCATGAATATGCCTCGTTAAAACCTTATTAGGAAAAACCCAGTGGGACAAAATCCTAATGAAGGAAAAAGAGTACACTATTCATGTGAATACGCTATCCTTGTTGCCTCATTAAAAACCTTGCTAGGAAAACCCAATGGGACAAAACCTTAGCCAAGGGAAAAAGAGTACAACGCGTATTTCATATATTCACCATAATAATCTTTCCATAATTTGTATGAGTATCATATAAATTCGTTCAGATTTTCAGATACTGATGGTATTCATGACAATATGTCATATCATGCTTTGTGCAACGTTTATTCTTAAACTCATTCTCATCATCAATTGATTTCAATGGTGTTACTGCCAATAGTTCCCAATATTCACATTTCAGCTGATTTCATTCTCGTCAATATCATTTATATAGCGCTATTCATTTGTTTGTGTCGACACTTATTCATTTCCATTATTCCCCGTAGTATATTGAGATATCTCATTATCAATTGATTTCAACAATAGTAAATATACCCTCTTTCATCACTTATTCGGGGAATTTCAATTTGCACAATACCAATGCTTCCAGCGTATTATTCCACTATCATATCATTTCATATAATTCATCATCATCAGTATCATATAGTTTATGATTTGCACACTTTCACTGTGATGCATATATCATTTCCAAATTTCAATCATTGATTCTCTCCCTCATCTTAACAGATTCCTGATCTGTATTTTTAGTATTGAATTTCTTGAGGGGAGTTCATATAGTCTCTATTTTGTTCTTGATTTCAACATATATTTGGAGGACTTTGAACTCATATCATTTGTAGTGTGCACATTTTTCTTTCAAGAGTTCATCATATCAGGTGAGTATATTACTAGCTTCATCACTTTCATATGACACTTATTTTCATTCTTTCATAATCATCTTGTGTCATCCTTAGATCAAACCATCTCGTAAATTCAGGTTACATGTCATATACACATTCTTTGATCAAATCATCTCGTAACTTCAGGTTACGAATCACACACATGTGGCTATCTAGTGGATCCATAATATCTAGTAGCACACATGGAGGGGTAGTGGGCCCATATATATCGTACCCCTTTCATACTCAGATTGATCATATATCGATTCACAAATATTTAGCTAGTAATATTTTTCACCAATCGGGAACAAGCATCTCATATCACAAAGAATAAGTTCATCATGCAAACCATCATCAATAATATCGGTAAACATTTTTAAAGTGATCACAATAATTCGTTGTGACATGTTTATCACAAACATTTCACATCATCTTTCGGCGGCAATAAATGCACTTTAAGTGTAGGCTCTGGTATAATATCTTTTAACCACTGTTTAAATCCAGAATCGTATCATGCTGTCTGACACACATACTTTTGAACACTGTTTAAGTCCAGAGTCGTATCTCATACGCATCATATTTTTCTATAAATTATCAGGTAATTCATTCAATTTTCTTTAACAAAGGTCCGAATTTACAAATGGATTTAGCACTCTCAAATATCCGTAAATATTATTCTTTTCTTCCGAAAAATATCATAAAAAGGATTTATCGATCTCGATTAGAAAGATTGAGGATGCTAATGAATAATGGTATTCCAAATGATGTTAGATGGTTGATCGAAGCACAAGTTCGATTGTCTGGAGAGTTTCCAAATTCATATAAATATATGCCAGGTATGGGTAAAAGTACTTATGCAAAGAAACGAAGAGCAAAAAGGTTAGGTGGATGCTTCAAATGCGCTCGATGGACTTGTGACACACGATGTATATCTGTGGGGTACGTGTCCAAAAATCGAGAAGATAAAATAACGTTTATAAAGGATGGATTGAGTAAGGAGTCTTTGGATCAAACGATTCAACAGATTCTTGAGACACATCCTAGTGGATACGTGCATCGTGAGCTTATGTCTTTATGGATTCAGTTCAAAAATGAAGAAGAACGTTATAGTCTCGAAAATATTATTTCAAAAGATCAAGTTTGTAAAACTGGTCTTGTTAGTACGAAAAATCATACTAATACAGTTTAGTATGTTGTACTGTAATTTTCTAGAAAAACTTATAGTTGCCGACAGATAAGATTTATTTAAAACCCAACACCTTATCTGTCAGTTGCAATTGTCAGAAGAAAACAGTAAAATTATTTATTGCTTTGTAAAACTTTCTATTTAAATAGCGAGTCGTTCATCATAATCATATGCCTCACAAAGTTTTGAAAAATTCAGTTTATCAATAAATAGATGGATGTTTCAGAGTCTTCGCAAGGTAATAATTTTCTTCAACCGATCAAAACCATATGTGTTCTTGGTGGTTCTAAACTGGTAAGTTTTTCTCAAACTATTGATATTGTAAGTCAGTTAGTCAAAGAGATGGGGAATCAAAAAATCAATTTGCTGTATGGAGGGACTAGCAATACTTTCTATGATAGTCTCTTAATGGCTGGACAATGTTTTGAGATAGAAGTGAAAAGTATCATACCTTTTCGTAGAGCTTCAACAAAGGTCGTCAAGGATTCCACAAGCATGATGTTAACTCATTCCATTCATGATTGTATGATGGATATGGTGAACAATAGCGATGCTTTTATCATTCTTCCAGGCGGGTATGGAACGCTAATGACAATGTTCACCATTGCTTTATGGGCAGAATTGAAACTTCATAACAAGCCCATAGGTCTATTGAACTTTAATAACTTCTTTCATGGTTTGCTTGGATTTTTAGACATAGGAGTATATCAAACCTTTATATCTCCTTCAATGAGAGAAGTATTCAAATCTGCTGACACGTCTGCTGAACTTATCAAAAAGCTTCAAGAATGCATCACATTTCAAGATTCTGTGGAAACACAAGGGGTCAAGCGAAAAAGAGCTTTTGATCCTTTAGATCTCTCATTATGAACCCAGATATTATTCAAATATGAACCCAGATATCATTCATGGGTGGCAGAGTTACGGAGTTTTACACTCTCGAGACGCACCCTTCTTTTATGGGTTCTATTATGTAATCTTTGCGTATTTTGTATTCATCGAGTATTTACTGCCTCTTTTCCATATTTCCACCATCTGAACATTTTGTACTTGTTTCTCAGTAATAATAATATCAATTTCGATTTTTCTCAGTGTATAGTAGTTCATGACTACAATCATTATCATTTGTGCTTCTTCCGGAGCACTTTATTGTAATATCTGTATGATCTCGTATCCCAATGTGATCTCGTCATCTGATATAGCCCCTTAGACTTATATAATATATTGAGAAATCATTTTTGTGTGATCACCCATAGCTGGTAGCTTTTGATACCACTTTCTCATTTTGTTCAATCATCCAATGGTAGCTTCTAGTACCATTTCATCACTTTGTTTAATCATAAAGTGGTAGCATCCAGTACTACTATACCATGATATCATTTAATCATTATGCCATAACTTCCGACATCACATTAATCATGTGGTAACTTATAGTACCATCTCATCAATATTCATATCTCCATAAATTTGGAGAATTTATCAACTGATACTTCAGGACCAGGTTAGTCCATATAATGTCTGTTCATGACAAGGACTTTAATTAACTTTCACATGGTCAGATACAAAGTATCATTAATTTCACTCATTGGCTATCACTTAATTTGTACTGCCCATCGCCGGCGGCAGTGCCGCACTGGCCGACCCATGTATATGTATAGCCATTCATTTGTTGCACGTGGCGTTGCCACCTGGCCATTCTATATCCCCGGTTATCATTAATATACTGACTGATCCATTTAGCCGTTCAATATTATCTGTTGCTGGTGGCTGCAACACTTGGCCATTTCATATGATCGGTCATATTTCTTTATAATATTTTTGATCAATAATTGACCCGTTGGTTACCATTAAATATTACTTGCCGGCGACAGAGCCGCACTGGCTGATCCATATAGCCACACATATTTCTTTTCATATCACAAGGGTCAATCCATAAATATCCACATTTCCATTTACCAAGTATTTTTCTCAATAGAAAAATTCATACATTTCATAATACCAATATAATTTAATATATCAATATTGGTCTTAAAATGAAGCTTACATTAAATAGAATAATCTAAAGTGAAATAAGTTTATTTCAATAATCACTATTTTGTAAATTTAACAAAATCTAATGACTACTATGATTATTTGTATAAGTAGAAGGCAACAAAGGCTTGCAATGCATTTCTTACTCCACGTAAAACAGCAACTAAGTAAGGGATATAAAAATGTCATGATTGATGTTTTTTTTTTTTTTTCTCAAATGATATCACCCAACCATTAATGCATGCAGTAAATGTTATTGTCATCTAGACTATTTTTCCAAGACAAACCCCACAATCACATGCTAGTTACACACAACCACCATAAATTCTTATTTTATTATTATTATTATTATTTTTTTTATTTAAAATTCATTATCCTCCAATGTCTATCTATCTCACCCATTCACTTTCTCTTTCCTTTTTCTTCTGCGTGAATCAAGAACAAATCAACCCAAATATCCTTTCATCAATTTCATTCTCTTCTCACCATCCTCCTTTCTTTTTCATTTTTTTTTTTCATCCTCTACAACACATTTGAGTAGGATTCCCATACGAATGATAATACTTACCTTCACAACTTCTCTTGTCTATTTGGCCATGACATACATTATGATACATTTTTCCCATATTTTTTTTTTTATTTATAAATTTCAGTCGGTAATACCTTTCTTCAGCCTTTATTGTGAATTTCATCATCCAATCTTCGACGATGCACGTCACCGGCAGCTCTTTGGAGGCTTTGAGTCCTACCATCAGTTCACAGAGGGACTCGAGGACATATAATTTAGGATTCATTTTTGTCCTTTTTCTCTGGTTACACTCTATTTTGTTTTATCTCTATTTACTGTTTTGCTTACTTTTTCTTTGGTATAGAGAGAAAAGAAAATTTGTAATATTTTGATTTCTGATACAGAGGATCGTCTATAAGACGCAACTGTAGAGCATACTCTCGTCATATTACAAATCGAACTCTAGAGGGTAGAGACTCGTGCTGATAACGTGTTATAAAACTAGAGAGAAAGAGAGAGAATAGAGAAAATGTATTCTCTTAGGTGTATTTTTCATTATAACTGAAGCTCCTATTTATAGGAAACTCCTGATGGCACAACTCGTAATAATACAAATACATCGAGGGCAAAATAGTCATTCACATACATTATTTTATTATTTCATAACATTATTATTATTATTAGAAATTTTTAATTAATCTATCATTATATAAAAAAAAATTATAAATTTAGAAACTTTTTTCTGCCAAAATTATTAAATATATCCTATATATAGTAATTGTTGGATAAATCTGAATAGGCAAAAAAATTGGCTCGTGTAAAGATTTGTTTTTCTTTTTCCTGTTTTTTAGTTTATCAAAATCGTTGTTTTGACGATAAATACTTGTTTTTCTTTTTTCTATTTTTAGTATAAATCTACACGAGTTTATCTCTTCTGTTACAAAATCTCATTGCATATGTATCAGGTGTTTAAAAAATCTCATCCCTTATATATACAGATTTGAAAAAATAAAATAAAATAGAAATTAATTCATAATTACTACTAAAAATCTATTATCTTTAAAAAAAAAAAAAAAAATAGAAATCAATTCATAATTACTAATAGAAATCCATTATCTACATTAATAAGCTAATTTTCATCAGTTTAATTACTAATATTTTTACAAATATTATAAGCTAACTATACAAAAAAATATAATAATCATTTTGAAATGGTGTGTAATAAATTTTTTTATATTCTCTTATACAAAATAATTTGACATTGTTTGACTTCAAAACTTTAATTTATAATTACTAAGTATTGTTTATTTTCTTCTTAATTTATAATTTTTTTTCTCTTTTTAAATATGATCAATAGTAGTTTTTACTTCCGACATTGAGTGACTTAAACTCCACGTCTATTTATAATATTGTTAATTTAATATTATTATCGTGTATCACACAGGTACACATTAGTTAACAATAAAAGCGTAAATGAAATAAAATATTTTTTTTGTTCCAGCTTTTGAGTACGTGGGATGGGAGGTACAATCAGTGGGTTAACACGGTTTTCGTGACACGTGGCCACCTCAACATTCTGTGCTGTATTCTTGTCTTTTCTTCTTTCGTCATCATTCACCCTTTATTAATTTTTGTTGCAGTATTTATTTTTATCTGTTTATAAATTTAAATGGTAATTTGGAGTTTTTGGTAATCTCACGTACGGATTTATAAAGTTTTACTATGTGCTAATTTATGGTGCTTTCTATAAATTTTAAGTATACAATTTTTACTTAATCTACTAATGATTCCTTATTTGAGTCATATCTTAACCCAATTTGATTAAATTAATCAAGGTTAAAAGTTCGAAGGGGGAATAACAATTTAAGTTTTGCGGTATGTACACGTCAAAATAAACTTAAAATTTAAATTAATCAATGTTGAGTTAGTCATCTTGTGATTTGTGATTAAGAATTTAACTAGTGCGTTAGAGTATAAAGCAAGTAAAAATAAAGTTTTAAATTGTGACATGGTTAAAATTGTGACGTAATTTAACATTGTGATAGCTTAAACCTCAAGAACCTTCACATGATTGTATGATTTTCATGAGCTGTCATGATGAATTTTAAGCCATGTCCTTTCATCTCATCTAAGAGGGCTTTTTTTTTCTTTTTTTCAAAAGCCCTCGTCTAAGAGTTCATGAGGAAAAAAATATATATTTCCAAATGTTTGGACTTTGAAAATAGTAACTTTTGATGTGCGATAGTCGACACAAATGAAGTAGATTTGATCTATTTACAATTTTTCACAAATAAAGTATTCACAACGATTTATAGAACGTCGTGTACTTGAAAAGAACTCTGACACTGGAGGGTTTTCTGGTGAAGAGTCTCTAATGCTTAAGTCAGTGTTTGTTCTACTCAATTCTCTAGAGCAAAAATGGATAAATCGCGTTCAAGAAGTAAAGTTCATCCCTATATATAGGAGTGAGATATTTAACCTAGGAACGACCTGGATTTGCTGAGCTGGATGCCCAAAGCTGTCCGAGCCTGTTCGTCCGTACACACGCACACTGTGTGTCAGAAGCGGTTACCGTCATATACCAATTATGTTGCGCCACCTGTCATCTGCACATGAGGTAAAGATTCCTCTAAAATCCCTTGAAGGCTCTTATGCTCGACCATTCCTAGATCAATTCTCTGACTGCTCTCCACCTGGGAAGTGGTCGATCACGACCATTCTGCTCGATTCTATTTGATCGAGACGGCCCATTCAGTTTGCTGGACTCAATCGACTGGGATAATGAACCAGTTTATTCCTTTAAGTATAATATCTCCTATCGTTATTCAAAATTGTTCACAAATGAAGAAGATTTATAGAATTATTTACAATTATTTACAAATAAAGTATTCACAATCAGATAATCAGATGACTCGACTTACGCAACCATTCAAAATTTGCAATATAAACAAGTTTTTTGGTTGTCCCTTTATTTCCTTTGTTTTTTCCTTCGTATATCTTGTTTAAAGAATAATAAGACCAACAAAGATCAAAACCACAAAAACCCATCAAAACCAAAACTTTCTCATCTTTGGTCCATCTCACATCAAAGTCCAATCTTCCACAATAACACATTAACCATACATAAACCACACACTAACCCAAAAAAAAAGAAAAAAGAAAAAAGGCTAAACAAACAAATTGCTCAACACAACCCAAACTTCACCAAGAACTTCTTCTGGTTACAATCCAACATCTCCCTCAAACTACACTCCACATTCTTCCCTCTCAACAACTTATGCCTCAACTCCAACCTTCTCTTCAAACTGTGCTTAAAGAACTCTGGATATTCAGCAACCTCCGAAAGTTCCCGCCCCATCACCTCTTTCAAAAACCGAACCCTCGGCCCCAAAGAATTATCCACGCTCTTGATCAAAACCGGAGGGTACCCACCCACCAAAGCCGCCACCTGTCCCGAATCAAACCCACACGACTTCAAATACAAAACGTTCGGCCTCAGAATCTTATCCACATCCCGACACAGAATTTCCGGGAAATTCAAACCCACGAGCCCGAGCAGAGGCCCGTTCAGGCCCAACGACTTCAAGAACTCAGAGGTCGGTTTTAGCCTTTTCTCGACGCTATAACCCATGACGAATGGGTGTTTGACCAGAATTTGACCGATAGTCCCGTTTCTCGACAAACCCAAGCTGGCGAAAAAATCGACTGTAAGTGAAAGTTTGGACTCGATGCTGTAGCTGATAATCCGGGGGTTAAGGAGTAACATTTTCCCAATTTGCTTCTCGTTTGCGCCAAGAGACTCAAAAAAGGCTAAAAGAGGGCAGAGCTTTTGTTCGAGGCCGTGAAGGAGGATGTGCGGGAATTTAGTAATGGCGCGAGATATCTCGTTCGGTTTTGTTTCGAGAGATTTCAGGCATTGGACCATCGGGACAAGTTTTTCGTGCAGGTCGATGGAGAGGATTTTGGGGCACCTGCCGATTATGGCGGGAAGTTGCCTCTCGTGTATGCCGATGCTTTTTAGGTACTCCCAGTTTTCAGAGGCTTTTTCTTTGGTGATATTGTCGAGCCGTTTGCATTTTCCGGTCATTTCGTGGATTTTTTTGTCGTCAAAGCCTTGGTCTTTGAAGAACCACATGATGGAACTGACCTGGCTGCTGGTTTCCATTATCTGCTGTAAAATTTGCAGATGAAAAATGTTTAATAAATGTGCTATATATATAGATAGAACACAAAAAATCATGGAAAAAAGGTAAAAAATACCATTTTGTAGTCTTTGAGATTGAATGCTTGTGCTAAGAGTCGAGCATTTTCGAATATGGGTAATAGGGATAGAGGTTTACCCTAATTGCAAAAGCACCCACGGTTCTTCATTTTTACAAATATTTCATATTTCATTCGGGACCTTACAAATAACCCCTCTCGGGGGTTCCCTTTTGAAAGAACCTTCATTTGCCGGTTCTTCTTTGCAAGTGAAAATGTCGGGTNTGTACATTGTTCTGTACTAGCTAGGCTAAATCTCAGTGGAAGTTTTTCTGTAGCTAATCTTATCTATATATAGAAGTACACAAAAGTTTTTTTATGGATGAAGAACAGATTATAGAGACCACTACTAATTCAAATGGTTCTACTATCCTAAAAGCAAGTCGTAATCTACGAACAATGCTCGATTAGAAACATTACACTTACACATAAATTAAATGAAGACAGCTAATAATGTGAATTGAAGCTATAATTTCCACGGATTCCCGGGAATATTTGAAAAATTCTTAGCAAGGACAAAAAAATATAACTTCACTACTCTAATCAATCCACCACATTCACAATGGAGAACATCAGACTAAAATTTCCACCAATGTACATGAATCTCAGCAGTAAATTGTCACTTAATTGAGAAGAACACTGTACAACAACAACAACAACAACAACATAGCCTTTAGTCCCAAGCAAGTCGGGGTAGGCTAGAGATGAAACTCAAGAGAAACACAAAAGACTCGAACAAAACACAAAAAAAAAAAAAAAAAAAAAAAAAAAAAAAAAAAAAAAAAAAAAAAAAAAAAAAAAAAAAAAAAAAAAAAAAAAAAAAAAAAAAAAAAAAAAAAAAAAAAAAAAAAAAAAAAAAAAAAAAAAAAAAAAAAAAAAAAAAAAAAAAAAAAAAAAAAAAAAAAAAAAAAAAAAAAAAAAAAAAAAAAAAAAAAAAAAAAAAAAAAAAAAAAAAAAAAAAAAAAAAAAAAAAAAAAAAAAAAAAAAAAAAAAAAAAAAAAAAAAAAAAAAAAAAAAAAAAAAAAAAAAAAAAAAAAAAAAAAAAAAAAAAAAAAAAAAAAAAAAAAAAAAAAAAAAAAAAAAAAAAAAAAAAAAAAAAAAAAAAAAAAAAAAAAAAAAAAAAAAAAAAACGAGAGAGAGAGAGAGAAAGGAGCAAAAATCACGGTTCTGGCACGTTGATAGCGAGCCTCCAAGCGCTCCTATCCACCGCTAAATCCTTGGAGATATTCCAATCTTTAAGGTCTCTCTTAACCGACTCTTCCCAAGTGAGTTTAGGCCGACCTCTACCTCTCTTAACATCCTCGACCCGCTGTAGAACTCCCCTACGCACCGGTGCATCAGGAGGCCTCCGTTGGACATGTCCGAACCACCTCAGCCGATGTTGAACCAATTTCTCCTCAATTGGAGCCACCCCGACCCTATCTCGAATATCCTCATTCCGGATTCTATCCCTTCTTGTGTGCCCGCAGAACCAACGCAACATACGCATCTCTGCTACACTTAGTTGTTGGACATGTTGCCTTTTTGTAGGCCAACATTCAGCACCGTATAGCATCGCCGGGCGAATCGCCGTCCTATAGAACTTACCTTTTAGCCTTTGTGGCACCCTCTTATCACAGAGAACGCCCGACGCCTGACGCCATTTCAACCAACCGGCTGCAATTCTATGCCTAACATCAGCATCAATGCCGCCATCCTTTTGTAGCATCGATCCCAAATACCGGAAAGTCTCCTTCTTGGCCACCACTTGCCCGTCAAGGGTAACGTCACCATCATCATGTGAAGCCATGCTGAAAGCGCACGTCATGTACTCGGTCTTCGTCCTACTAAGTCTGAAGCCTTTCGACTCTAACGCGTCCTTCCACAGCTCCAACTTCCTATTTACCCCTGCTCTACTCTCGTCAACTAGCACCACATCATCAGCAAAGAGCATACACCAAGGGATATCACCTTGTATGTCCCTTGTGACCTCATCCATCACCAAGGCAAATAGATAAGGGCTCAATGCTGACCCCTGGTGTAGTCCTATTTTAATTGGGAAGTCGCTGGTGTCGCCCCCACATGTTCGGACACACGTCATCGCATCCTTGTACATATCCTTGATGAGGGTAATGTACTTAGATGGGACTTTGTGCTTTTCTAAGGCCCACCACATGACATTTCTCGGTACTCTGTCATAAGCCTTCTCTAGGTCGATAAAGACCATGTGCAAGTCCTTCTTTTGGTCCCTATATCTCTCCGTCAACTGACGTATTAGGAAAATCGCCTCCATGGTCGACCTTCCAGGCATGAACCCAAATTGGTTTTGGGTCACACTCGTCACTCGTCGTAGGCGATGCTCGATAACCCTCTCCCAGAGCTTCATCGTATGGCTCATCAACTTAATCCCACGGTAGTTACCACAGCTTTGAACATCTCCCTTGTTCTTGAAGATCGGTACTAAAGTACTTCTCCTCCATTCATCAGGCATCTTGTTTGACCGGAAAATGAGGTTAAAAAGTTTAGTTAGCCATGCTAACGCTCTGGCGCCCAAGCATCTCCACACCTCAATGGGGATACCATCAGGGCCCATTGCTTTACCTCCCTTCATCCTCTTCATAGCCTCTCCGATCTCTGCCTCCCGAATTCTTCTCACCACGCATCTATTGGTATCCTCAAATGAGTCATCCAACTCCAGGGTAGGACCCTCACTCTCTCCATTAAACAATTTGTCGAAGTACTCTCGCCATCTGTCCTTGATCTCCCCATCCTTCACCAGTGGCCGATCCGACCCATCCTTAATGCATTTGATTTGGTTGATGTCCCTTGTCTTCCTCTCCCGAATCTTAGCCATCCTATAAATGTCCTTCTCCCCCTCCTTCGTGTCTAGGCGTTGATAAAGGTCATCATATGCCTGACCCTTCGCTACACTCACGGCACGCTTTGCATCCCTTCTCGCTATTTTATAGCTCTCAATGTACAAAAATTTAATCAAAATTGAAGCAATCGCATAATTTCAGCACCACAGGATAATTTACACCACCTACACGAACTCCACATTATTTCAAATAGCTTCTTCTCACATTTCTTTTCAGAAAAAAACAACAAAACAAAAACAAAAACAAAATCATGAGGCTGTTTATATTCTGCTTTGAAATTAATCTCCTGATTTCTTCAAGAGAAACAGATCGAGCAAAGCATGAACAAAAGCAAGTGTCGAGACGCAGTAGAAAATAACATTCTAAGGAAAAAACAAAATGAAAATAGGAATGGAGCGAAGAAGGGAGAACAGAACAAGTTACCGCACCTGCGCCGGAGCTCCTCCAAACGCCGGTAACTAAAGGGTGGCCTCCGTCGCCGTCAGTCGGAAAAGCGAGCAGAGACCTCTTCCCTTTGTCCTGTACTTTTTGTTATTTTATCCGCAGAGATTTATGGTATGATAAATAACATAAATTTTTGATGTAATATGAAAGTGATAAAATTTTATTATTTCAGAATCGCATTATTACCCAAATTAATAAAAAAAAATAAAGATTACTTACGTTATTCATCACTTCCAATAAAAAAATATACTATTGTTGTCAAAATAAAAAAATAAAAAAATATATAAAAATATTATGTCAAAATAGTAAATGACTAATTATGTCCAATAAAAAAATATACTATTGTTGTTTGGTCTACAAACAGTTTTGAACTCGAGCTCGAGCATTTATCGAATCAAGTACTTCGGCTCATCAACTAAACGAGCTAGTAATGAAGCTTAATTTCATTTTGTTATCAATATATACGTGATGGGTTCGAACTTAATGAGCATAACTCAAATATTAAGTAGTTGAATTAAAATTATATAAAAAAAATATTATTTTCGAGCTAGATTTTTTTTCTTAGAGCGTTAATCTGAGTCTATTGCCTTGGCTAGATGGGTTAGGTTAGTTCTGGGTCAAATTATGGGCTTCGTGTAATGGGCCCTTTATCAGAATATAATAAATGGGCTAAACATTTTTCTGTGCTCAAGGAAATATTGTTTAGCCGGAAATCCAAATTTCAACTTTATAAGCATTTTGATGTCCGAGAAAATGTGATGCCCACGAGATTGCATTAACATATCTCCACACAAATATGATCGACTCGTCTCATTAGTTTGAATATTATCTTATTTATTATTATTATTATTATTGTTAATAATATTTATATTGTGTTTGGGCTTATAGTGTTAAAAACCGAGAAGATGTGTTTATTCTGGGTTTTATGTATTATTGAAATTGAATCAGAAAGAAAAACGGTTTCTTCGTGTTCTTCTTTGTTCTCCAACGTATGGACGATCGGATGCAATTGTTCGACACTCGAGTGACGGATCTTGCAACTGGAATCGACGATATTCGTCTTTCGCTGGCTGATTTGGTGCGCGATCAACAAACCCGTCGGGATTTCGCCGGCGGTCGTGGTGGACGAGCAGTACAAAGGGGCGGCCGTTGTGGACGAGGGTTTGGCGGGGCGCCCCGTCATCTGTCCCCACAGCCTCTTTTCGCCGATAATGACAGTGAAGACTCCCTGTCGGATGTTAATCCATTTGCCGAGTGTTTCGGCCATCCCGATAATCCAGCCAGACGTCACGGTGATTTTGCAAATCGCGACCAGCAGCGACGGAATGAGGGTTTTCGTCACCCTCTGTCGCCCACGCGACGTGCAGCGGGGGATTTTCGAGACGCCGGCTTTCCCGTTCAGCATCGTCGGGGCGGGCAACGTGATTTCCAACAGCAGGGCTGGGAAGAATTCCAGCGAGCGGCTGCCGGCGGAGATGAAGATGACGTTCCTCGATGGCGGGCTGGGATGCAACGTGGTCTGGGCGATGTTGGCGGCGAGTTCCGCCGTGATGCGGCTAAGGATGTTGCCGGTCATCGAAGGTGGGCTGCGGGACGATCTAGGGCTGAAGAGTTGGGCGGCGATTTTAGGGAAAAACGTGGACCTAACTTTCCTGGCTTTGGTCGTGCTTTTGATGACAGAGGTAATCGATTTAATGATTTTGCTCCTAATTTCCAAAGTCCATTTGATGACTTCAATGGGCCTAGGCATGAGGCCCATATTCACAAGCAGGGTGCTGAAGGTGAATTTGGTGAATATCCTTCTGTGCGTGCGTGTGGGGTTGGCAGGGGTCCTTTATTTAATTCTCGAGGTGAATTAATTTCCGAGGGTCCCTTTGGACGTGGTCAATTAATTTCTGAGGGTCGTTGGGAATCGGCTTTCCGAGTGGAAATTCCGAATTTTGCCGGCGGTTTAGATGCGAGTGACTTTTTTGATTGGTTGGCCGCCGTCGAGGCTGCCCTTGATTTTAAATTTGTACCGGACGAGAGGCGAGTCGCACTTGTCGTCACTCGACTTCGGGGACGTACGGCCGCTTGGTGGTTACAATTACAGGGTGTGCGGCATCAATAGGGCAAACCGAAAATCACTTCGTGGGTGAAATTTCGTAAGTATCTTGAAGGGAATTTTTACCGTTTAATTTTGTCCGTACTTTATATCAGCGTTTGCAAAATCTTCGTTAATGACAACGTAATGTGGATGATTATACTGAGTAATTTTATAAACTCTTGGCCCGGGTAGATATTCGTGAAACTCAGGAACAGTTGATTTCTCGTTATATTGGGGGATTGCGTGTCTCTATTCAGGATGTGTTGAATATGTTTACACCGACTTCCGTTTTTTAGGCTCATCCGCGTGCTTTATTGGTTGAGCAACAGCAAGCCCGGAAGGTGGGCACTTTTTTTGCGTCGTCTACAAAGGAGCCTCTTGGGACTTCGGGTACTGCACCATCTGCGGTGAAGGCTCCGTTCGATTTGAGTGTTCCTTCTGAAGGCCGTGTGGTTGGCCCCACGATGGGGAGTGGCAATCGGTAGTCTAGTGATCCGCGTTGTTTCACTTGTGGTGAGCCGGGACATCGCCAGGCACAGTGGCCGAAGGCCAGAGGATCACGAGCTTTGATTGTTGACGAGCCACACTCGACTGCTTACGATGGTCCTCCAATTTTCGATAAAGAGCCGGAGGTTCCCGAAGTGCATGTTTCAGGAGATGTGGGTCACGCGCTTGTCCTTCGTCGATCTCTTTTGTCTCCCCACTTCTCTTCCGAGGATACGGTCCAGCGACACCACCTTTTTGAATCCACATGCACTATTGGAGGTCGGGTGTGTCGTTTTGTCATTGATTCTGGTTCCTGTGAGAATGTGATTTCGAACGAGGTTGTGACGAAACTGGGGTTGTTAAGTGAGCCGCATCCAGATCCGTATGCTCTTGCGTGGATACAGCATGATGATTCTGTTCGTGTCACTCGACGCGTGTTGGTGAACTTTTCTATCGGATCCTCTTATAAGGACATGACATGGTGTGACGTCGTGCCTATGGATTCTTGACACGCTTTATTAGGACGACCTTGGCAATTTGATCGCTCAGTGGTACATGATGGACGCCTCAACACATATAGTTTTTTATTTGAGGGCGTCCGCATAGTCCTGCATTCGTTGTCATCTAGTTCTGGTCCTTCGTCATCGTCGTCTCCGATTTTAATCATTTCTCGCGCCGAGCAGTGTCGGGAGTTATCCGGCTCGGTGGACGGTCGCTCGATGGTCTTTGATGTAGGTGATTTTGTCGACTGGGTCACTCAGGACACCGACGATATTGTGGATTCGAGGGCGAATCCTCTCCACCGGGAGAGAATGATGCCGACGAGATTGCATTAGCATATCTCGACAAATATGATTGACTCCTCTCATTAGTTTTAATGTTATCTTATTTCTTATTATCATTATTATTATTATTATTATTTATGTTGTGTTTGGGCTTGTAGTGTTTGGGCTTTTAAGCATAGGTAGTTAAGACTTGTTGTTTTAAAAACCGAGAAGATGTGTTTATTCTGGGAGTTACGTATTATTGAAATTGAATCAGAAAGAAAAACGGTTTCTTCGTGTTCTTCTTTGTTCTCCCATCACAGACGCTGCATCAAAAAGGAAAAATATTATGCTTGTCAAAACGGACCAATCCGCCTCCTCTGGCAGCGTTCTTTCAGTCAGGCTCGGATATCAGCCTGTTTCATGACTGAAAACAAATGTATATATGCACTCGTGACTAGTAACTGAAAACAAAATGCATATATGTTAAACATCAAGAGATCAATCATGATTTTCGGAAGCACAAGTGAAATACACATTTTGAAAGCCATGTAAGTAAATACTTGGCACTTTTGTGTTAGACTGCTGGCATGTTAGTACAAGCATCAATAGATAATATGTTCTTTTCATCTCAAGAATGAATGTACATGACCAAATACAGATACATGTTGCCTCGTTTATACTGCATCGATTCATCTCAAGTCATCAACAATACTTCAACACATCCAACCAAACATAATCACACCAACACGAAGATGGGAAAGCACGGAAAAGAAAAGGAGAAAGCACGATACTCAATATGGGACGTAATATTCTACGCCAAGCAGGTAAAGATGATAGTGTATCTATCCAAACGTAATTCATCGACCAAACTTCATGCATGGCAAACAAACGGATGGTTTGTTTTTATTTATCCAGCTACTTTCCTGGTATAAGACCTTCTTGGAAGACCAGTTTCTTGCGAACGGCCCGCCAACAAATCCCATCCTCCGGCTTTCATTGGCGGCGGCATAGACGAGCGCTTTGTGAGCAGCCGAGTGCTGGGGGACAGTGCCATGTTTCCGAGCTTTTCGGCTGCGTATGAAACTGCCTTTGTTTTACCCAAGTTACCCGAATCTGAAAAAAAAAAGAAAAAAAAAAAATCAATCATGAATGCTTGGATATAAGAGTTTTTGGTTATGTTACCAGTTTTGAAAAAGATGGTATCGTTAGATGTTAGTAGGGTTTTGAGTCGAGCTTGAGCCCATATTTTGCATTGTCGAGCTGCTCGCGATATATGAAATTACTAAAATAACTTTTGTGTATATATGTATTTAATGGTTATTTTACAAAATTACTTGAAAAAATTCGAACCGAACTCGAGCCGAGCTCAAGCATTTTGAATTCGCAGCTCTTGTATTTTTTTATCGAGTCAAGCTCGAGCCTAAAAATCGAGCTCGAGCTCGAGCAGATAAAAGAAAAATTCAATCCTGCTCGATAAGGCCAATGCTCGGCTCGGCTCGGCTCGTTTGTGGCCCTAATTGAGGATAGTGAAGTTGGGTTAAAATTGAATTAGATTTGAGTTAAAAAAAATGATAGGTTAAAAATGATTGGATTCTTTTGAGAAATCTTGTATCCTTTTGCACATGTTACCTATAGATTTCTTGTTTTATTATTCTTTTTCTTTTTATTGATTTAGCAGCAATTTTTTAAAATGTGGAAATTAAGAAATAAATGATTTAAAGTAATAGATGGTTTACGCTTATTCGGTCCATTCAATCCAGGTGGCCGATACTTCGGCTGTTGCTTCACGTCATTCTTCTGGTTTTTGTCATTTTTAGTTGTATCCTGCAGCAAAAATGAGGTGGATAAAGAACAGTTATATTTGCATATTAACAAAGCTGTACAAAATTTAAGAGGTACAACTGCAATATTTGCATACCTGATTATTCAGTTCCAACTTTCTCTGCACGCCTGTATAATGTATATATAACAAAACCAAATCACATAACCAGAGGTAACGGAAAATATCCCACCCAGATAAAAACATAAATACAGAACCTTGCCCATCACAGGTTTATATATTTATTTCATTTATGGTTGAATTTCAGAATCTCGAAGGCATTAACCACTTTAAAACACAGATTTAAATATTACCTGAATTTAAGGACTGTTGTGATCTGGCAGGAGAAAAACTGCTTTGGGGCTTCGGGTTCGATAATTTCCCCTGATATCTCCTACCACTTTTTTGTTCCACACTAGCTCCAACTGTACCAAGAAAACAAAATCTCATTACTATTTTTTTAATTCCCTTAAGCATCAACCAACAAACAATATATGTATTAGGGATGAATAGCAGACCAGGAGGCGTTTTCGTGAGAGCAGGCTTAGCACGCAGAGATGGTGGAATGTAAAAGCAACTCTGGAAAAGAAAATAAAAAATCAAATCAGAGATATATCTTCACCACATTGAAAAGTGAATAGATTTAATACAATATGTAATACTTAAATAAAAGTTTCACCTGGAAGAAAGGATGTTGAAGGGCCTCCATGGCTGTTGGCCTCTTGCAAGGATCCCACGAACACAATGACTATATTAGCCATACACATAGAAGAAACAGAAAAAGAACTTGATAAGTTTTCACAGAAAGAAAGTTATACTACAACCCACAGAATCTTGTCTTGAAAGTTTAGGTAAAACCTGGATTTACACCCAAGAAAAATGCTTACGAAGAATATCAGAGTAGACCATCAAAACTTTAACCAAACTTACTGAGATGAGATTAACTGCATCCTCACTGACACCTGGCATCAATGCAGAAAGATGAACCCTAGCAGCCTGCTAACCAAGACGAGAGAAAGGACATGGTTGTGAACTATTAGCCAAAAAAGAAAAAAAGAAACAGGAAACAAAAACAAAAACCTAATGGCCAATCATTCATCAAAGAGTGATGCCCAAAGATATGGAAGTTGATTCCAGGAAAATGTTGGCATTGTTGAAGTTGTTTATCATAATTAATACAAACAAGAGTTGGTCAACCTAAAAACGGAAAATGAATAAACCTTAAAATGGATAATACACACACACACATATATATATAGAGAGAGAGATAGAGAGAGAGATAGAGAGAGAGAGAGAGAGTTGACTCATTTTCTTGCCATTTTAGATATTTCTACTCATGGTGTAACGTAGACGAGAAATTCAAACTATAGATACAATACAAAAGGGTTTAATACAAAATATAACAATCTCATTTCTATATTCTTCAGAAGTAAATAAGTCACGTACTTGAGGAAACTGATAGTTGATAGCACTAGCAAGTTCAAGCCCCTGAGGCCATTCGGTGTTGGTTGGACTACCAATTACACAGCATATCTTGTAAATCTCATCTGCCTCACTGCACCGCAATTTACAGAGCATATCAAGCACTTTGTGCTGCTATACTGGACAAACTTAAACTCATTTTTCCACATAAAAAAGATACAGAATGATGACAGTCTAGGAAGTCAAGGCTACTACAACAGGAAGTATGTTAACAATCAACATCTATAATTTGAGCCAAAATGGCAAATGCGAATGGACATAACAGACAAGGCATGTAATATTTAGGCAAAAATCACCCATCACCAAAATCCAGCTGAACAAAGGCAAGAAATATATAATCATATCAAGGATGCTAGTAATACCTTGACCCAGGAAATAAAGGACGAAGAGTGAATAACTCAGCCATTATTGCACCCATTGCCCATATATCTGCAGGAATAAACTATTAACATCTNTAGAATAAAAAAAAAAACGGAAGCAGAAGGGAGAAACTACCCTCACCAGCGTGTTGAGACGTATTCAGTGAATGGAGGCCGAGAATTGATCTCTCGAGCAAGACCAAAATCAGCAATTTTTATGGTATCCTTTGTTACAAGCAAGTTCTCTGTTCCAAGCGTCAATAAGATAGAAATTGAGGGGAAATCTTGTAGATACAAACTGCTAACTGATCAGAACTTTTAGGGCATGCTTGTTTACCAAATAATTTACTCACGTTTAAGTCATACTCAAAATCTAACTCAACTTTAACTCAACCTCACTATCCTTAATATTATTCATATAATTAAATAATACAAATCAATCATTCTTACACATGACATCAACTTTAATTCACTATTCATCAACTCACATAATTTTAACTACCTATCATTTCCAATCATTTATCTCCTACTTTCACATCAAATCAATATTAATAATTTTATTTTAAATATTATTTTAATAAATTCCAAATAACTTCACACCATTGCCGGTTACATGCTAAATTCAGTGGAGCAAATAAAATATCGCAAAACCATAAACATGTAGCGGGCAAAATTGATGTGCTTAACAAATAACAGTTTACAAAATAAGGACAATTCTGAACTGCATCAAGAATCATATAAAAAACAACAAAATTTTATAATGGTAAAAACATGAGTCCCAGCTGAGCACTGATGTGGTAAGTCACAGCATCACATTAAAGTCAATGCAGTTATAGGATTAGTAATAAATTTTAAATTACGTAACACGATGCATGCTCAATCAACTGGGTATAGAAACTTTCAAAGGTCTATTACATCTAGATGATCGTAACTGGAACTGTCAGAGTAGTAATAACCTGGCTTGAGGTCACGATGGAAGTATCCACGTTGATGTATATACGCGAGACCTTGAAATACTTGGAAGCACCAGTTTCTCACATCCACTTCTGAGAAAGGTTTTTTCCTGTCCTTCATAAGCTGGTATAGATTGCATTCCTGAAGGTACCAACACCATATATTACTTCGTCAGACAGAGAAGAAAAGAGAGGCCAACATATGTAGGAAAAGCAACGCATACCATATATTCAAAGACAAAGCATAATACATCATTTTCCCTTATGACTTCCTTCAACTTTACTACATTTGGATGGTTCATTTTCCTCAGTGACTGCCAAATAAAGAATCATCAAGTAAATTAGTGTGTCAAATTATCACACAAAAACTATGCTTAGCCCAGCTGCTTCTCATGAATTTTCATAACTCTGCTGTACAAAATCGAAATATGCACTGACATGGATGTCCGAGTGATGATATATCATCAAACTAAAAAGTAACTATTCACACCTTGACTTCTCTCAGATTTATACATTCTTCCCATGAATAATATTTCTTCTTCATTTTTTTGATCGCCACCTGTTGACAAAAATTATCACGTTCTCTAACAATTTTAACAAACGACAACAGGAATTGGGAAGAAATCTTAATAAGTCAAGGACCGAAACTAATCTAAACAAACAATGCACCTACCACTTCACCAGACTGCTTGCTTAGAGCTCTCCAGACACTTCCAAACGTACCATTACCAACTTCCTTTATAATTGTGAACCTATCAAGTCATCAACCCAATCTGATCTTTGAATACATTGAACAGGAAAGCAATGATAGTACATAGATAAAGAGATACAACAGGTTGTACCTTTCCATTCTTGCGACTTTAGCTATGAGCGATGTTCCACTTTATTGGACGAGGCGAGAACAACACAAAGCTACTTTTTAACTTTTACACACTTTAACTGTAAACAAAAACTAATAATAGCCTGGCTAATAAATCAAACCCATCACTAATACAAGAAAACCTATAGGATTGTCATGGACATGCTTAAATGCCTTATTTATGAGGTAAACCAAAAATATCTCAACACGAAGCTGCATAAATTCTGATACTAGTCAAAACCAACTGATAAGAAATAGCTCCACCATCTACCGCTATCAGCTAAAGTGATGATTTGCCTAAGTTTCCACATTTTAGTATGCTGGAATATTGAATCCAATGAAGTTCCTTCTCAGGCTTGCAGACGAGTCCTGAGTTAAGGGGGAGGGGGAGAGTATACTGTGATGATCCTGGAAGCTCAAAACATGAATGATCAGTCGGAAAAATAAGGGTTAGAAAGTACCTCACTGCGGGTCTCCAAACGATCTTAACCTTAATGCAATGTGTATCAGCAATGCACTGGCAACAAATAGAATTGCACAAGAGGATTGACAGTGTAAAACTGGATTGATAGCACAGCCAGAGTCCACTGTGTTACTGTTTATGCAAGCAACTCACTTGTACGGGTGCACTAACAAGGCTTCATCATCAATTTTGAAGATATGCTCTACCTTCCTATACTGGTCATTTAATTCACTAAGTGCAGTTGACAAAGGAAACAAGAAACTCTCCGAGGATGAGAAATCGCCAGTCAAGGAGTTCCTGGAATTGAAAGATCCTAAGCTGGTGGCAATCTGACCAGAGGCAAATTTGCTCCATATCCTAGAAAGTATTAATCCCTTTAGCTCGTGTTTTAAGACCTGAAACCATCAGAAAAAATAACTTTATAATACCAACCTACTTGTGGCCGAAACTTAAAATAGGAATCCCCACGTAGAACATAATATCAAAATGAAATGCAGGAGACAAGTTTCATATCAAGCCCAATGAATGTCACACACACACACACACACACAAAAAAAAAAAAGAAATGACTACAAATACCCAACTTCTAAAGAGTTCACATAATTTTTTTGGTAAAACACGCTCGTGAATAGTCCGATTCATAAAACTCAACAATAACATAACAACCAAGGACTATTCAACCAACCCAGCTTCAATTCTCATGTCGCTCAATTTTCTTCTCCTACAGCATAGTCACTTCATTTCAAAACACAAACCCCACCAACGATCTCGGTTGTGACATAGATAACATCAAGCTCGCCTACAACACTTCACCATAACACAAATCCAGATAGCCATAGCTCATTAATTTCAGCACAAAAAGAAAAAGGAAAAAAAAAACGAAAGAAATTCAAATACTCAAAATGAGAAAATCAAAAGCTTCAATTGTCATGCCTCTCAATTTTCTTCCCCTACAGCACGGTCACTTCATTTCAAAACACAAGCCCTAGCAACATATATAACATCCAGCTCACCTACAAACGTTTCACCATAACACAAATTCGGATAGCCTTATCTCGTAAATTTCAGCACAAAATAACAAAAAATCAATTACTCAAAATAAGAAATCAAAATCTTCAATTCTCACATCTCTCAATTTTCTTCCCCTCAATTTTCTTCCCCTACAGCACGGTCACTTCATTTCAAAACGTAAACCCTACCAACAATTTCGGTTGTGACATAGATAACATCAAGCTATCCTACAACCCTTCACCATAACACAAATACATATAGCTTTAGCTCATATATGTCAGTACATAAGAAAAAAACAACTAAAATACTAAAAATAAGAAAACCACAAATAACCCTCACCAAAAACAAAACCAACCACGCCTCGACAAATCAATAGCACCAACCCTAAATTAAGGTCGAAAAGCAACATCACAGATCTCTAAATACCAAAATCGAACCAGATCCAACCACTTCACACCATCACAACCACATAAAAAACTTAACGTTTAAACCAATCATTCCCAAACAACACATGTACATAGATTGAAATACAAACATGAAAAGAAAAAAACAAAAAATCAGAAAAATACGAGAAATACGTACCTGAAGGGGAAAAGGCATTACCCAGGAAGATTAGGAAATCCAGCGATGCCACTCTTTCTCTATGTAGCTCCTTTCTCTCTCCTATTTGAGAATGGTGATACCATGTGTTTTCCGGCAGCCACCCCATTTATAAATATTTGATAACAACGTGATTATGAGGGTGGGTACATGTGGGTATCACGGTAAAAACAAAAGGTGAAAACGAAAAAGAAAAGGATCAAAATTAATAA